CCCCTGAACTTCCGGGGCTTTGCCCCCTGGACCCCACCAAGGGCCCTAAGGCGGCCCCCTGGATGCTTATCTGACCTTAATTAAATACCTAAAACCCCTGAGCTTCCGGGCGCTCTGCCCCCTGGACCACACCAAGGGCCCTAAGACGGCCCCTGGATGCTCATCTAACCGTAATTAAATACCTAAAACCCCTGAGCTTCCGGGGGCTCAGCCCCTTGACCCCCTGCCGAGGCTCATGCCCTGGACCCCACGCCAATTTACGCTCTATCTGATCGATAATACTCCACTTTGAAAAACGTTCCGCGGGACCTGCATATAACGTGTAAGACTGGTGGTGATGCAGATTTTTCGTCTGCCCCCCCCCCTTCCGAATTTTTTTCTCATTACGTCACTGCCCCTGGAAAGTGAGCCCCCTGGAATGTTTGCCCCCCCAATCCCAAACTGCTTCCGGCGCGCCTGGCGAGAATTCTACCACTGAACCAACAATGCTAATGCTACACGTTTTCCTATTTGATATTTTGTTCTCTGCACTTTTTCTTTCCAACTATTTGTCAAGAAGTAGGCTATTAAATTGAAATAATTCTGGAAAATGTTTTTGTAGAAGAAGTTGCAAGTCATTATTGAATAGCTAATATCTTTTGAATTCAAAGTAATAGAAACGAGGAAATTTAATCTCCGATGAGAAAACTCAGGTAAGTATAATAATATCTTCTTTTTCCCCTTCTATTTACCCTTCCACATGATTCTTTTATTAATTATCAACATAATCATTTCCATAAAAGATCGATGGATACACTATTTCATAACTTGCCATATGAGTATTCAATCAATAAAACATTACAAAAAATAATAACCTCGGCAGACATATAAAATTGAATAACTCAACAACAACAAATTGCTAATCATTGTTGAATAATCTAAAGCTTTAAAAATCAATGAATTAAAGATAGGGAACGGGGTGTCCGGTGAGGACAGAAGAGTTAGAGCTAAGTTATAAAAATAAACGATGGTCAAAGTCTCGACTTATACATCCCCTTCGGAGCAGGGGGAAATGAAAATGCAGAATCAAAGTGTAGAAAATACACCCCAAAATGCATTGTCCGGGAATCGAACCCGGGTCACCCGCGTGGCAGGCGAGAATTCTACCACTGAACCAACAATGCTACATGCTGACACTGTAGTTTATTTGATTGATTCTTGCTTCCACTTCCTTCTCCTATATGTTCACTGTTTTCCCCGACCCTCGGTATCTGTCCAAACGCAGAGTGAAATAATAAACTGCCAATCATTATTGAACTAGTCAAAATCTTTAAAATCAAGGAATTAAAAAAGTAACGGAGAAATACACAAAAGATGCATTGTCCGGGAATCGAACCCGGGTCACCCACGTGGCAGGCGAGAATTCTACCACTGAACCAACAATGCTACATGCTGACCTTGAAATTTATATCATTTCTCGTTCCCCCCCCCCCCCTTTTCTCTCCTCAACTCATGGTTATCTATTTCATTTTAAAAGTAAAATAGTTTGGAATGATGTTTAGAAAAAAATGGGATTAATTGTTCTAATGTTGAATAGCCGAAGTCTTCAAAAACTTTAGGAATTTTCATTTTCACTAAATCCCCTCCAGCTTTGGAGAATTGGAAAATAAGACATGATAATAATGATGATGACGAATTGATGATGATGATGATGATGATGACCTGTATATTATAAAGCACTAATGCTGATAAAGATGTTCCATCCCACAAGTGATGCATATATAAATTATTTGAGAAAATGATAATGAAATGACTAGCGCAGATATAACAGCCGTTAATCGAGGGAGAAAAAATGCATTGTTAGGGAATCGAACCCGGGTCACCCGCGTGGCAGGCGAGAATTCTACCACTGAACCAACAATGCTACATACAGACCTGAAATCTATTTCATCTCTCCCCTTCTCTCCCAACCTCTTGGTTATCTATTCATTTTCAAAATTAAATAGTTTTGATAGATAGTTTTGAAAGATGTTTAGAAACAATGGGATTAATTGTTTCAATGTTGAATAGCCGAAGTCTTCAGAAACTTTAACTATCCTCTCCAGCTTTGGAGAAATGGAAAATAAGAAAAACATCATAATAAATAAAATGATAATAATAATCATAATCATAAAATAGTAATAATAATTATGACAATAATGATAATAATAATGATAATGATACTTATAATGATGATCATCATCATGATATGAACCTTTATGAAAAAAAAAACCTCGTGCACCCGGGAATCGAACCCGGGTCACCCGCGTCTATATCTTGTAATACAATTCTTTAATGGAGCAGCAACATAAATACTAATTGAGAAATGAAAATTTAATTTAAAAAATAGGGAAAAATTGCATTGTCCGGGAATTGAACCCGGGTCCCCGCGTGGCAGGCGAGAATTCTACCACTGAACCAACAATGCTATATACTGACATAGCATTCATTTGATTCCTTGTTTCTTCCACTTCCTCTCCTATTCGATCACTTTTTTCCCCCGACCCCTACGTCCTCTCGGTATCTGTCACAAAGGCAAAGTGAAATAATAAACTGCCAATCATTATTGAATAGTCAAAATCTTTAAAATCAAGGAATTAGAAATAGGGATTTGGATGTCCGGTGAGGAAAGTATTTTTTGAGAGTAGATTCACAAGCGAATAAAGTATTTAATTGGTATAACAGATGACGACCAAACTAAACAGTGTAAATTAAGCCAAATCCATAATTGGTCATTTTTTCCATTCCCCATGAAATATTTGATTCTTTCAATCTGCTTGGTGTACCAAATGCATCGATATTTTACTGTGATAACCGAATTAGATTCGCTGGCTGTCAATAATAATCGCGACACGGCTTATTTTAATATCGCTTCACGTCATTGATTGTAAAAAAAAAAAAAGAAGAAGAAGAAGAAGAAGAAGAATGAGAAGAAGATAAAGAAGAAGAATGAGAATGAAAAGGAGAAGAAGAAGAAGAAGAAGAAGAATGAGAGAAAGATGAAGAAGAAGAAGAAGAAGAAGAAGAAGAAAAGAGGGAGAAGAAGGAGAATGAGAAGAAGAAGAAGAAGAAGAAGAAGAAGAAGAAGAAGAAGAGGAAGAAGAAGGAGGAGAAGAAAGAAGAAGAAAAAGAAGAAGAAGAAAGAGGAGGAGAAGAGATTTGTTGGCTGTCGATAATAATCGCGACACGCCTAATTTGAATATCGCTTTAATAATAATAATAATAATAGCTAGTTCTTATATTAGCGCTTTTCAGGACCGAAGGCCATCTCAAAGCGCTTTACAGATATATATATATATATTATTACCCATTAATACGTCATTAATTTTAGAAAAAGAAGAAAAGGAATGAGAAAAAGAAGAAGAAGAAGAAAGAAGAAGAAGAAGAGGAAGAAGAAGAAGAAGAAGAAGAAGAAGAAGAAGAAGAAGAGAAGAAGAAGAAGAAGAAGAAAAAGAAGGAGGAGGAGGAGGAGGTGGAGGAGGAAGAGGAGAGAAGGAGGTGGAGGAGGAGGAGGAGGAGGAAGAGGAGAGGGAAAGGAAGAAGAAGAATAAGAATAAGAAAAACGACGTCAACAACAACAAAAACAAGGACTCAAAGAAAAAGAAAAGGAACAAGAACATGAACAATTATAGATCAAGAAAAAACAGGGAAATGGCTTAAACTGTACAGTCACAGGGATGAACTCTGTTGTGATTTTTGTACAAGTAAATGCCTGTTTCAATTCATGTACGGGCTTAAAATGCCTCAATTCCCCCCCCCCCCCACCCCCCACCCCCACCCCCAAGTCCAGGCTTGCTGATACATAGGCAGTGCATGTGGCTTACTTGCGGGAACTCCAACCAAGAAAGGACACAGATGTCACTTTATTGACAGGAGATATGATTAGGTTTGTTTAAGAGATAATAATAAAAGTGTTGATACAGCATGCGAAATATGAATTCAGATACGGAAGAAGGTGCTTTGATGTCATATTTAGGGCGGTAAAATTTGCTCGATTTTAGAGCAAACTGAACAGAATAAATCAATATTAAAAAAGCCATAGATTATTGTCTTTTGGTTTTTTTTGTATGACATTATTTCTTCGCATACTCATACTTTATATAAATCAACTCCGATGTTCTGCTTTATCTAAATTCCGATAAATAGTGGTTGAAGTGTTCATAATTTATGTCGCATTACATAAAAGTGGCTCGCAATGTAAACAAAAAAACTAATGGCTGACAAACTTACATTGTAGCATTTTCTATAGCACCTCATCTAATGAATTCACGCCACATCATCCTTAAGTGCAAGCACTCGTCACCGGCGTTGCATAAATAGCTCATGGGGGTAGCATCGGTCCATTCATCAAGGGGCACTGGTATCAATGGCGCGGGGGAGGGGGGGGGGGGGCGGGCATCGGTCTTGATCATGGATGAAATGTCTATAACAAGCCTAGAAAGTCAGTTGAATTTATTGACCTCTTTCTCCCTGTCACTTTCTCTCTATGTTTGCCTTTGTCTCTGTGTCTCAGTCTCTTCCTGCCTTACACCCACCCTCTCTATTTTTTTTTCTCTCTCTCTATTTTTCTATATGTCTGTTCTCTCGATCTCTCTCTTTCTCTTTTTTTTTCTTTCTCTGTCCTTCTATCTCCCCTCTCTCTCTCTCTCTCTCTCTCTCTCTCTATCTCTTCCCTTCTATCTCCCCCATTCCCCTCTCGCTCTCGTTCTTTCTCTTCCTTTCTATCTCCCCCCCCCCCTCTCTCTCTCTTTCTCTCTCTCACCCCCTTCCTCTCCCACTCCTCCCCCTCCTCGAGTCCATCTCGTACTTTCCCGTTCGATGTGAGGGGGTAAAATGTGAGGCACGTTTCCCTCGTGCTCCTTCTATCTCCCCCATGATTTTTAGATAGATAATTCATGACAATGCGAATATGATTGCTTCATATATAAAGCAAACATAATTTTCATTGTCTAGTCATTGCTTTCTTTGGAAGACTAGTAATCTTCAGCACACACACAGACGAATCGCCATGAAGACTGTAGGAATCATCGCCCTGTGCCTGCTGGCATGTGTCTTGCAAACTTGTAAGCTAACTAAAAAAAAAAAATTTTTTTTTTAAATCCATATTTTTCCCTCCACAGGGATTTCATTGATTTTCATTTGCAACAAATTAACAAATATATATTAAAGGTAATTGACATTTATAACATAAATAAGATTGACTACTCACGATAAGATTGTTGAACTCTTGAGTTAACAGATAACTAACACATTTTCAATAATGTATTTCTGATATTCATGGAAAGAAAATGTCATTTTGTGTGAACAAATTCCTGAACTGAAACCATTTTCTTGTGAATTTATTACTTCTACAATTATTATTTCTGCAATAAAGAGATTATTTATATTAGTATTCCATTATTACTTCACATTTATTAACTTGATCAATATGACAGTAAATATTTCATCACGTCATTATAATTACAGTTATCCAAATTCATAATAATTCCACCTCACAAAGCATCTTACATTCGCTCTCTACCTTCTCTTCATCCGTCTAAAGTTGGTAGATTTCCCCCTTCTTTTTTTCCGTTCTATCCCTGAAACCTCTCTTCTTTTTTATACCATCTGATTATCACTTATCATTACCTTCATTCCCCTCTCCTAAATGCATAACGAGACAAGAATCACCTTACCATATTTTGTTATTTTATCATATTTTCATGTGATTTGTATAAAATGTTGTTTTCTTTATGTAGCTTAATGGTGCAAAACAAATTTCCAAGAAATATTCCACCATTATATAACCATGGAGAAGCAGTGAGATATACTAAAATTATGTTTATATTCAATCCAAATCAATTTTTATTTCTGTTTTCAACAACACCTTATATAGCAATTATAATCATTTTTATCTCCGCCTTGCACTCATCAGAGTAAAATGGATAATCGTTTACAAAGGCCTACCCGACACAAGTCTACTTCCTTATTTTATTATGCTCTTCTATTATCATTATTACTATGTAATATAACTATTATTATCATTGCAATTATTATACTATTATTATTATTGTTATCATCATCATCATCATCATCATCATCATCATTATTATAGTTATTATTTATGTCAAATGTGTGTACATGTATAATATTATTTCAGTATTTTGTCAATTTGAAGAAAACGAAATCGGAAGAAAACAAACGTTTCTTTGAATATGAATATGAATATGAATATGAAAATCAAATCTTTGTTACATGGCATTGCTTTTAGACGCCGCCGGGTCCTGCTCGAACCGATGTGGCTCCAATAACAACATTTACGACTGTCAGTGCAACTCGCAGTGCATCAATTATCAAGATTGTTGTGCGGACTACTTCATCAAATGCAAAGGTTACATTTCATTTACATTCTTTCTTTTTCTTTAAATAATAATTATGTAGATAATGATAATAATGATGATAATCATAATAATTGTAATGATATTACTGATGCTGATATTAATCATTAAAAAAATGAATAATATTGATAATAATAATAATACAAATATACGAGATATGTGAGGCGCCATATTAACTTGAAATCGAAATGTTAAAGGTGCCCTTGTGCAAGTAAACAAAAAATCACATACTTCACGTATCTTCAAATTACCTAGAATTATTAATGAATTAAGCGAATCTATTTCTTTCAAAAAAAGGAGTCGACAAGCTTTACGAGTCAGATCTGACCGCCCTCGCCGGTGACCTCTGGAACCAAGATGTCAACCGACTGAGTAGCTCACAGTACACTATCAACAAACAGACAAAACTCTCCGACTATGACCCAGCAGTCGACAGGAGTTCCAGCAAGTAAGCTATGGGTCAAGTATATAAAGTTCAGGGGTGTCACCCCGTCTCCTCCCTCCCCATTTCTGAAGAAAGATAAAAATACGTCGACTAATGTTTGCCTTTGTATATAAAATATCGTCAAGCCCCGAAGAGAAAATGATGATTTCTTCTGGTGAGAGGAGGAGTGGAAGGTCTGGTTGGAAATTTTCGGCAAATTTAGAAGTAGTAGTAGGAGGAGGAGACTAGTAGTGACAGTAGTGGTCCTAGTGATGGTGATGTTGGTGGTGGTGGTACTAGTTGTAGTAGTTGTAGTAGCAGTAGTATATAGTATAGTAGAAGTAGAGTAAAAGAATAACAATAGGAGTATACTTATTATACATTATTTACCTCTCTTTTAGTATGTTGAGTGAATATAATCATCTGATTGGTAGAAATTGGAGTCGTGATTTTAGCCATGCCCGTCCAACGGTCAATAGTTAATGAGAAAGATGCCCGTTGCCCCGGTTAACGGGCGGCATAGTTAATTTTTGCTGAAATCCCTATTGGTTTACGTGTAAAAAGTTTCTTTGTGCGAGCGCGGAAACCATACAGTGCAGTGTGTGTGCGATTCCCGAATGATCGTAACACTTCGGCAACTTTCCAGCGACGATTTACAGACACTCTTTCAGATTTGTTGTGATGTTTTAACTTTTAACCAATCTTTACTCAAGAAAAGAATAAGATATGAATTCTTTGTAAATTTTTTGTGTGAATTCGGTTTATAAAAGATATATGGACTGCTTTGGTATTCGAAGCACAGCTGTTTTTATACTGGCTCTCGGGAACGTCGTTTAATCCTTCAGCCGCCGCGCGCCTCGGGGTCAAAGCAGGATGTTACGTCCCCTTGAGCCTATAGAAACAACGATGCCTCGCATAGCAGTCAATATATCTATATTTTTTATATCATCGACATCGTCATGGTCATCATTACTATCCTTAATAACGTAATCTTTCCCCGGCACTCCTGTAAACAGATTCTTTACCTCCGTGAAGACAAGCAATCTGAAGGGAACATGGCCGTCCTTCCAGAATCTTCTCAATAATTACGTCATCAAAACCGGTACATCGGAACAGGTCTCCAGTGGCGAAGAGGCTGAGATGGACACGTTCATGAACAAGATCATGGCGACAAGTGTGATGACCACTACCTATGAACTACTTAACGAAAAAGGTTCGTATTTTAGTTGTTGGTATGTTGTTTGTTGTTTGTTTAATTGGCTCATATGTTGTGTGTGTATTGGATTGAAAGTCTAACGAATAAACCGCTATACCACAACGTTTATCATCTTTTCCCCTTTCACAGGGTTCTTTTATGATACAATTTCAAACAAAAAATATACATCCTAAAATATATTATATACCTCACTTAAGAAATCCAGCCATCTGATTAGTCGACATTGGAGTCGTGATTTCAGCCATTCCCGTAAAGAAACGAAAAATGCCAGTACCGGTTTTAATAGTCCAAGAGTGAGATCCCTCAAAATTCCGGTTACCATGAAAAAGTAACATTTTGCTGCGATACCCGAATGATTGAATTTTATCAGTCATTTTTCAAGCAAAGATTACAGACAGTGTCTCATATTTTCCGTGATGTTTTAACTGACTAATCTTTACTCAATAAAAGGATAAAGTAAAAATTCTTGATAAATTTTTGTTTCAATTCGGCATATAAAAGACATATCGACTGCTTTAATATTCGAGGTCTGGCTGCTTAATATGCTCTCGGGATAGAGATATCGACATCTCTATATTATCATAAAGAATTTCATATTGAGTTTATTACTTTACCCGTTTATGACGAACAGGTTACTTCGACGACAAGGCATCTTTCAAGAAGTACGTAGAGGGCGTGTGGTTTAATCTCTACACCCGTTCTTCAGGGAGTCTAGACTCTTCGGCCTTTGAACACACTTTTGTTGGAGAGATCAAGAATAGTGCTGTGTCTGGCTTCCATAACTGGTACCAGTTCTATCTCATGGAAAAGACTGGTCGTCTCAACTATTATGGATATGTCGAGGAAGCCAATGTAAGTAATAGTAGCATGCTATAGAGAAGGTGATAACAATTTAGTTGATCAAAGAAATTCATAAATCGAGTAACTGTTCTCTGTAAAGTGCGTAAGTCAAATGAAATTAGATAGTACCACCTTCGCTGAAGTAAGCTAGTCATTGTGTACTATAATATCAATATATAGGTTTATAGTTATCTCCGTCATCATGACTGCCCATGTATTTTAGCCTACGAGTCTTCGATAATTGGAATGGGGGAATGGTTGCAATAAAATGTCTAATTCCTCGTCATTCATTTTTAAAAATAGCTGATTATTAGATACGGAAATATATGTATATTTCGGGTTTATAGAGGGCCTGATTCAAATTCAAATGACAGAGCATTATATATAAGTATATTACAAACAAATATACAATGTAACGACAAATATAATAGAAAGAGTACGAGAAAAGAGGAACTAACTAGAGGCAGAGCTTGTTGAAGTGTTAGTTCCTCTGATGCTGTTTTACAATATATCTTGAACAAAGTATACTTAGAAAATAAATAAATAAAACAAAATATGTAAAGAAATGATGGTATCCTGTTCTCTATTTTTTTTCTTTAGCCTAATCTGATCCTGCTTCAATTCAGCGTCGACAACTACGTCAAGAAGCTGTCGTCGCTCATGCACGGCGTCAGTCCCGAGTTCGAGCTCGCTCTCTTCACCACTTGTTTTGTTTCGAATCCGGGTTCTTCCTGCTCTTTCAAACTTCAGGGAAGCACGGTTAGAATTCAAACGTACGACTACAATGGCGGTTATATCGGATCCGCTTTTTTTAACGTGTAGTAATTATTGTCCGAAGAAGATAGACCACATCGTCACCATTTTAAGGATCCTCTCTAAACCCCACTCAAAATCAACGAATACAATCAACATGACTTTTGTTGTCATTTGTGAAAGATACTGAGAAGAATCAGATAATGCTCCCACCCACCCCTCCTCCCTCGCCCTTTAGAATGAAATGAGGATAAACTTTATCATGTCTATAAAAGCGACCCAGAAATAGCGATATATAAACTTTTGATGGAGATATTAGGATGCAATAAGGAGAAGCTTGCTTTAAAAGATTGTATTTAATAGCGTTGTATCAAAGTCAATATGCATAAATAGATATGGGAGCAACTTTACTTATTTCATCCATTCACCTATCTATTTATTGATTTAATAATTAATTTATTTTGCACCTTTTACCGGTCTGCTACAGTTCCATGCATCCATGGAGCAGGTATAGAATGAAAAGCAGTAACAATTGAAAAACACAAAAGAAACATGTTCATACGGTACATGTACAATGTATCACAGACGTGCCAAAAGGCTTTACATAAATGCATTGTCTGCTGAGGGCCAGAAGGGCATTACATTTTAATCTTTTTTAACAAGTTAATGCCCTCTTATCTCTTACAAGACGAAATACTGTGGAACCTGTATATAAAGACCACCCTTGGGAGACAAGAAAATTGGTCTTTATATACAGGTTCCTTTCGTGCATGTGTCAATGAAACAATTTTTAAGGGAAACGAAAAATTGGGTCTTTGTAGACAGGTAGTCTTTTTATTCAGGTGGTCACTAAAATAGGTTTGACTACGGTAGTTTGCCCCTATGTGTGCGTATACATCAAAAGTTGATTTGAACAAGTTATTGTTTGGACTTGAAGTATAAAAAGATCAACAATTAATTCAAAATGCGTTTCTTGCTTCCCTATGGTACATCAGACATAATAAATGAGATGTTCTTACTCATGGCATATTTCCAGAGCAGTATGATTGTTTTTATTGGTGCAAATATTGTCGTGAATGTGTTGCTATCTTCCCCATACTATACTATACTATACCATATGTTTTCTATAGAATTATTACCGGAACATACCTAAGTGAGTATGTAAGATAAACAGAAGATAAATAAATATTATGCACTCCAGATAAGTGAATAAATAGAGATAATGCATAGAGAGAAACAGGAAAACAGATACCCAGAGAGAGGTAGACAGAAAGTATAAGAGAGGAAGAGACATAGAGAGAGAGAGACACACACACAGATAGAGAGAGACAGAGAGAGAGAGAAAGAGACAGAGAGAGGAAGACAAAAAGTCAGAGAAAAAGAGAGAGACTGAAAGAGATATAGAAATATTTTACACTGAGTAAAAGTGGTAAAGAAAGAGCAAAGGAGAGTGAGGCAGATGACTTTCAAAATTTAAAAACAAATGCTTGTCATAGATTTGCCGAAACCATTATCGATCTCTTTTTTGTGTGTATTTTTTGTATATACGGACACGTTTCACATGATCTCTTAATATGTAATAAATATCTCTAGGCCTACATGAGTTTAGTTACAGCTGCATATGTAGTTCATGGGATTTCCACGCGGTAAGTCAATGACCCTGTTTCATAAAACTAATTTCCTCGACGAATTTGCTCTCAGCCAATCAAATGCCACGAATTCAGTAGCTTAGAACAGCTAGTGTAACATGTTATTGATAACAATTTTATGAAACTGGGCCATGAAGCATAACCTTATCGACGATAAAGATTAATTTGTTAAAGAAATATCAGTAATAAAATAATTAATCAGAGAACAATGTGTCAATATCTTCAGTTTGTATTATGTGTAAATATGGGGGATGAGCGATGGACATCATATTCGGGGCAGTCAAATTTGTTCGCGAAATATAGTCTAAAAAGGGAGCAGAATTGATTAATAAACTAATTGTAAGAAGCGTGTCGGTCAATATATGTATTTGTCTTGTGTTACGCACTCCACTATTGCCCAACCCGAATATAACTACCTGGCTATAAGTATGCGCCTTTTTTACGTCACCCCATCCCCAACCCCCTCCCGCCCCCTGTTCAACGAGTCTGGCTACACCATTGGAGACCTGTCTGTCATCACTTGTATTTGCTCTGCCATCACAAGAGACGTCACGGATTGAAATTAAAAAGGAGATAAAAGATTTTGGTACAGATATCATTTACTGGCAGGTGTTCAGTTTACCACGGCTTTGCACGTTGGTGGGTTCGTGGTTTCAAAGAAATAGGGCCTCCTCCAATGAACCCAACTTTTTTGCCCATGGTTATTGACCCCTTTTTTGTTAAGAGGGGCGAGTGTCTCACCTCCCATCCCTACCCCTCTCGGTCTTTTTAACCGATTAATCTTATACCCTTATCCTTATACCTTTTCTCTTGCCAATATTCTACATCTGCGGATATGAACTCTGTTTAATTTGTGTTTGTTTGTTTGTTTGTTTGTTTGTTCTTCTACGACTTCTAGTACCATATGAGCGATTTTGTCCCCCCCCCCCCTCCCACCTATATCCTTGGTCGACCCCCTTGCGGTGGTCATTTTCTTTGATCAGTCTACAAGGAGCTATTTATGGGAACCTATAATCTACAAGCTAAGCTTTTTAATAGGTTCCCCACATTTCACTCTGTATAACCTTATATTCATTCCAAACAATTTCGACGTCTTTTCAAAGAATTAGTTATATAATGTGACACTTTTAGTATATTTCATATTATGTTCTATTTTTGTCTATTATGTAAATTCTTTTTATTTGTGAAATGTGAAATAAACTTGAAAACTTGAAACTTGAAAACTTGAGCTCTACCATTGGTAGACGGAACTACCAAAAAGCTCAGGGGCCTCGTTTGACCATTCTGAAGGGGGGTGCCGACATTTGCCAATAAGGTAGCCGAAAGTGACCCACCAAGAAAATAAAAGGATGAGAAAGCGAAAGAGAGCTGTCAAATTCTGAAATTCGTCGACAACATCGAAAAATATTCCAAAAAAATTACCGGCGGATGATTTTTAACGGGGGCTTTACCACCCATCCTCAAGCGACACCCCTGGATACGCAAATCTGCTAGGTGATGATAAGATAAAAGCGAGCGCAGTGCTAACTATCTGGCCATAATCCAGGTTGTCCATTGCCAAATAAGCAACGTCTGATCATCGAGTCGTCATCATGTTATTCTCTCCTATTCTTGTCCTCTGCCTCGTGCTGCACATTGGAATCGCAGGTAAGCACTTTAAGTTGGGGGGATTGACCGGAACTCGAGGTGTGTGGAGGTGTCGTGGTATAGTCGTTCATTCACTTGACTCCCAATCCAAGAGACGAAGGTTCGAATCCCACCTCGGCTCGAACGTCCTTTGGCAAGATTTTATTCCACATTTGCCACCATTTTACCGTCCAGTAGGCAATATCTGGAGTTATACTAGTTGCAGTGCTGTCAGGGACAACAGCAATGGCGCTGATGAGGGTTTCCTGGATAAAATAATTATTGTTATTATCGTAATTGCCATACATTGCGAGATATTCCGAGAAGACTGCGATAATTCAGAACGACAAACAACGAACTTGAATTCTAATGAAGAGGAATGGCTACAGACCGGTCGCCGGTTGCAGCCGGTATATGAGCATGATTGACGTTGTGAATTATCATATTTGTCTGAATAACATTATTATTTTTATTTTTTTTTGCTGGGGGCATTTATTATTATATCATTTTCTGATCATATGAATTTGATTCAATCCCCCTGCATTATTTTATGAATTATCATAGCTTCGGCTGACTCCTGTTCCGGGAGGTGCAACTCGGGCGTCGATTCTTCGAAGAGCTGCCAATGTAACAGTGCTTGCGAGACCTACGGGGACTGCTGCACAGACTACCAATCTGAATGTCTCGGTAAGAAATTCGCTGTTAATTGTGATGGTAGTGCTGATGCTTTTGATGTTTTCGTTGATGTAATAGTTGATTTAATTTTAAATAATTCCTCTAACGTAACGCGATCTGCTCCTACTTGCTGCGAGCCAAATATTGCGTGAAAGGCGTACTGTCGATGTGTACGGATTCGCGGATCACGCCATCTATGTGTTGCAGCAGCTAAAGCTATGGTCACAACTCAGAGCGGCAACCGACCGATTTGTAGCATCGTCGGTCGCCGCTGGAATTTAGCGGGAATTTAGGCATCGCCCAACAATTTTTAAAGAAATCGAGCAGGCTGTAGAGCATCAGCGATGCCTGGGCGGTGCCCTGTCGATTTCCCGTCGGTCACCGGTCGGTTTAAGGTCAAAACTGGGCATAATCGGGGAGCTTATCCGCGGCGGCGTCCCGGCAGTGACCGACTGATGGCCCATCGATTCCCGGGCGGTCTCCTATCGGCCACCGGCTGATATTAAAGAAATTGCCCGGAGGCCGACCGGTGATCGGCGGGGGATCTGCGGGTATTAAAATACGCTCGGTTCTCGGGCGGTCGCCGCTCGAGCACCGACCTAATTGAGCGTTAGCCGTCGAGCAATTTAGGTCACAAATCGAAGCCGCTAGGTCAAAGGCTTGCGTTGCCCGGACGCCGACCGAAAAATCCCTCGACGGCAGACGCTCGTTAGGTCGGTATTTTGAGCGTCGAGTGAAAGTGAGCAGGCGCCACTCGAATTTTAACTCCGCGCTAAACTTCAGCGGCGCCCTAGCGATGTCCTAAAAACAAGCGATGCCCGGGCGAAATTGGCTAAAAACTCGCCGCTCGGCCGGCCGCCGAGCAGGCTACTTTTGGGGTTGTGACCATGGCGTAAGCAGGGGGTTGGAAATATCACGTGTGTCCCTTGGCGAGACAGTAATCTACATTTGCTACTCTCCACCCAGGTGATGTAAATGGGTACCCGGTAGTAAGTAATTCCTTGAGTAAGTAATTCCTTGAATGCGTTAAAGCTGGGGGGTAATAACGTGAAACTTTGTATTAAGTTCAGTATAGTTTTGTATAGTACCGGCTCCAATTATGGGCACATTCTTATATTGATAATGTTATGAACTTGAATATGAATGATAATATTAAAGTGATCAAGAATATGAATAATTAATATTAGGAATTAAACATATGTAACTGTGAATATGAATCGCAATGAGATATGTCAGTCTCTGGGGCATCTGACACCTTTTCTAGAGGTGCACGAGACTTTTGACTTTTAGTCGGATATTAAATGACATTTTAGACAAATTAATTGCTAAAATCTATATACCTCTACCAAATAATGACTTTCAGGCAAGCTAATAATAATTTATCAATGATGAAGCCGAATTTAAGACTTCGTTAAAATAAAAAAAGGGGGAGAATCTTAATACAAAAAGTTAGTAACATACATGTATTTTATTATATCAGCTTTTCGTTGGCTATTTAAAACTTACCCATGTAACGTTATTCCACAATCTAGGTGGGGCATATTCGTGTAACTCGAGGTGTGGCGAATCCTACAACTCAGGCAACCCCTGCCATTGCAACGATTTATGTTCGCAATACAGCAACTGCTGCACAGACTACGACAGCCAATGCTCGGGTAAGTCGCTCCATAGATGCACAAATAATTTGTGTGTAGCTATAGAACATAATGGATAACATTTAGACCCCGCGTTAAGGGCTCGTATAGAACCCAATTTGGAATTGGCACTTACAGAAAATAAATGCAAGAAACCCTATTAACGCTCCCTCCCCTCCTTATCCTAAAGCTCCCCCCCCCCCCCTCCTCTTATTCTTCAAGAACCGCGCCTGGTCTATTTTTCATTTTCCGTCTTCTCTCAATCTTTTACATTTATTATTGAATGGTGTACATCATTATAATATATGAAGTGTTCATAAAGAGACATAATTAGTCAAATTCAATTCATTTGTTTCACATTAAAAAAAAAAATACAATGCATGCAGAAACAACTATCGAAATTATAGAAGAAAAAAATTGCTAAGATCTACATGTGCATACATATACCAAATAAGGACTTTACGGGAAGTAAATTCTGAATAACTTACATGTATTTCAGGATTTGATCACACATGAGCTTGTCTTTGGCTATTCGGAACTTGTAGGCCCGAATTCACAAAGGAGGTTTGTCGACAAACCTAGGTTGATGTGCGTCATATGACGCGTTTCCTTGGTTTGTAAAAACGCGTCGAAACGCGGCATATGATGCACAAAAACCTAGGTTTGTCGACAAACCTCCTTTGTGAATTTGGGCCATCATGAACGTTATTCCACAAACCAGGTGGGGTAGATCCGGGGGTAGATTCGTGTAGCTCGCGGTGTGGCGAATCCTACAACGCAGCCAACCCCTGCCATTGCAACGATCAATGTACGCAGTACAGCAACTGCTGCACAGACTACGACAGCTTGTGCTCGGGTAAATCTCAGTAGATGCGTATCATTTAAATGTGCACCAATCACCTGCAAAAAAATCATTCGTGCATAGCTTTAGAATGTATTAAAATCATTCTCATTTTACTGTTTCGGTTGAGGGGTATGTATTACGAGAGGGCTCGTAAGGAACTGAATTCGAAATTGAATGCAAGAACCCCAAAGCCCCCTCCCAATGGCGGATTCAGGAGTTTCCAAAGGGGGCGGGGGCGGCGTGAAATGTAGGAAATTTCAAATGCAAAGCGCGAAGCCTTTACGGCGTCGGTTCTGGGGCCCGCTTAAGAGACCCGGAAAATGTTGAACCTTAAACTACGCTATGGAACATTCTGAGGCATTCCTGAATGCTTAATCTGAACATTTTATTTTTTTTAACTTTTTTAATTCATTTTCTGATTTAATCATTGCATCCAACAGATAACCTTCAATCAAATAATTATATAGGACCCTAATCACAAACTATATACATGCCGGTAATGGATTTCTCTCTCGACCTTTAACATCCACGCTGTGACTGCTTGCTTACACCTATGTACTGTATACTGCTTATTTTTATTTTGTTATCATGCTGGCTGATGCACTCTTTGAGATTATTACCCTTTTTGTTAATGCAATCCATAAGCTTCAAAAAATATACTTTATTTTACTTAAAGAGAAGTTTGAGTTCTGGGAGGAAGTGACAAATATTTTGTGAGCGTTATCATTGTATTATACAGTGTGGAAGGACATCATATAAAAAATGTTCCCTAAAAAGCATGGCTCTTCAAATACCTTAACCTTAATATGGCTGGGGGGTCATAATGGCCACCCCCCCCCCCCTCCGGAATTTTTCTGATTGTTCGGGAGCGCATACGGATGGCGCCCCGCCACTCTCTGACTTTTTTCTTTCGAGTCTTGCGCATCTTTTGAAATAAATTTTTCGAAAATCGGACCTGTCGTTACAAAGTCACGTGACCTTTTGTCTTTGCATGTCAGCCCGAAAATCGCTCATTTTCGTGATTTGTGTACAAAACATATGGAAATCTCATTTTTCGAAAAAAGAGATAAAAAATTGGTTATTTGGTCTTGTTTATAGTTTGGGTGTTTATTTTGGGGTTCAAAATAGTTGAATTATAGTGAGAATTAAAATTTTTAAAAAATAAATAAAATACATAAATAAAAAAATAAGAAATACATAAGAAATTATCAAATCAATAGATAACATAAGGAATAACCGCTCTTCCAATTTTTGTTTCGGTAATATTATTCCAAATGGTCTAAAGAATATATGTAGTGAAAACTAATGTTCAAATATGAATAATATATGATTTATGGGTAAAAATGTGAATTTTATGACCTTATTTGCATAAATTATCATAAATATGGAAATGAGTGAATTTTTCGAAAAAATTAATTTACCATACTATTCTATACACTTCACTTGACATGCGTGCAAATTTTCGCGGCGATCGGCCGTTTGACGGCCGAGATCTTGAGGGGGGGCCATAATTCCCCCCCCCCCCCCCCCCCCCCTGGCCGTATTGAGACCTCAAATAGCCCGGCCGTATTAGGGTAAATATTCTAAATATCTGAACACTTATGTTATTTTTTCTTAGCTTTTTTTCCTGCATTTCTCTTCAAAAAGTCAATAAAAATGACAAGTTCAGCAATGGCGAAGTTTGTATATCTATTTTCAAAAGGGGAAGGGGAGGGGTCGTGAAATGTACCAAGCAGGAAAGGGTAAAGTCAAGTTGTGGCGCCTACACTTTAAGCGTGCCCGGTCGCGGCCCTGCTAGAGGGGTCTGGGAGCATTTCCCTTTAAGTCCAGAGTAACAGCCACCACTGACCAATCACAGACAAGAAACAAGACCCAGTGACGTCACGTCGACCAATCAGAATGTGCAACTAATACTAGCAGGTTACGGTCTGACTATTAATCTTGTCTCTCCCTTTTGTTGCTTCTCGTTTTGTGTCTCCTTCCTCTAGCTCTATATCCTGTTATTCTATCCTGCATGCCCCCCCCCCCACCCTGAATCCACCCCTGCATCCCTCCTCTTATCCTTCAAGAACCGCATCTATTTTTTTTCCTTCCTTCTTCACTCCATCTTTTTTATTTAATGGTGTACATCATTTTAATATATAAAGTGTTCATAAAAAATAAATATTATTCAAATTCAATTCATTTGTTTCACATCTCTAACAACATGTATATTTATAATGCATGCAGAAATAGACAATTTAAGAACAATATTGTTCAGCGAATGTCATATTAAACGAATGATACAATCTGTAAAGCGCTTAGAAACGGTATTTCTTATCAAGCGCAATATCAATCGAGAATAATTTCGTTATTTATTGAAGGTGGAGGAAACCCCGGAGAAACCCTTTCATCCCTGGCTGAGGCATTGTGGGAAGCTGATGACAATGGTATCGGCGGTTCCGACCTGGTCTTCAACAGACAAGCATACCTGAGCAACTACGCGGCACGAAACGATTTGTCCTCGCAGCCGTGAGTCCAACAATGGCCCATGCAATTTAAGGACTTCAGACAGAATTTAAATGTAGTATAATATATTATTATCATTATAATTATTATTCTATAACATCATTATTATTATTATTATCATTATTGTTATTATATCATCATTATCATTATTATCATAAGTATTATGATCATAATTTTATTGCTATTATCATTATCATTATTAGTAGGAGTATTATCATTTCAATTATTTTTTATTTGTGTCATTATTAGTATTGTTATTATTATTATTATTATTATTATTATTATTATCATTATTCATTGATATCATTTTGATTATCTACATTTTTATCATTATTATTATTATTATTATTATTATTATTATTATAATCACTATTAATAATAATAATATTATATTAACGAACAGGATCGCAACTAGTTCCATTTCACGGTCCTCTGTGCATGAGTCACTTATCTTAATGCGCGGATATGACAATGATGCATTACGTAATCTGAACATGATTCCCATGCGATGTACAAAGGGTACTGAAATTGTACTTGAAGTGATTTTTCCCCAAAAATAGTTGCGATTGTTTTTAATATGATATTTATGATAATAACAATGATAATAATAACAGTAATAATTTGAATAAACTTGCCTTTTCGGGGGATTTTCATCTTCTATCACACCCTTCCACACTTATATGAAGATAATGAAAAAAAGTGACAAATTGTTTTTCACCTAGCCCAGAACTTCTTTTTTTATATTTTCAATTCAATTCAATTAAATTAAATTCCATTCAATTCTATTCTATTCTACTCTATTCAATTCGATTTAATTCAATCGATTCATTTTAATTCAATTCAATTCATATCAATTAATTTCAATTCATTTCAATTCGATTCAATTCATTTCAATTCAATTCAATTCATTTTAATTCAATTCAATTCAATTCATTTCAATTCAATTCATTTCAATTCAATTCAATTCAATTCATTTCATTTCCATTCAAATCAATTCATTTCAATTCAATTCATTTCATTTCAATTAATTTCAATTCTATTCTATTCAATTCAATTCTGTTCAATTCAACTCAATTCAATACTGTTCAATTCAATTCAATTCTGCACAGTCTCTTTACCTACGTCAACCCTGCCAAGCTGGATACCGGAACATGGCCGACGTTCAGGGCTCTCCTCGACAACTACATCCGGTTCACCGGCAGCTCCGATACCAACACCGCTAATGAGGAGCGAGAGATCGAAAACTTCCTCGACGAGGTATTCAATACCAGGGTCATGGACTTGACGTATGATTACTTGTTCAATAAAGGTGAGATTTCATTTGGAGGGTCTGTTTGTATATTTGTTTTTGTTTTGTTTGATCTTGTACCGTTATGTTTTGCCCCTTCTATTTTTCCTTTGTCTACGGTCATAATTTTTGCTGTAAGTCGAATTTATATTTTCAGTTTAGACACTTGAGTCACCATAATGTTGTACACGAAACGTCATTTTGATTGCGTCATTACCTCCGCTAATAAGGCCATGGAGGCAATTAGATCATACGTCAGCAGGTTAATGCACTATGTGCGGTGTTTATTTTGTAATGTATTTTGGACTATGTCACCCTATATGGTCATGCGGTGTTTTAAAGAGCGCAACAACATGACCGATCTATGACGCAGTTCTACGTCAATCGTACGTCAGGCAAATAACGCATCATGTTCAAAGGGCATAAGGGTTGAGGGCACTGCAATGCTTTACCTGTGCGTCATGTTTGTAATAATCTGAGTGAGATTGTGATCCATTCACATTTACATATAGCTTTCTGTGTCCATTCCTTTACTCTATCGTTAAAATAGCTTAATTGTTTTTGTCCCGGAAGAGACTGGCTTCAAAATTTTTCAATCCGTCACAATACTGAGCGAAATTATATGATAATACTTCTATATCCCCCTCTCCTCTCCTCTCTTTCTCTCTCTCTCTCTCTCTCTCTCTCATTCTCTCTCTCTCTCTCTCTCTTTCTCTCTCTCTCTCTCTCTTCCACGCCCTCTCTCCCACACACACACACACACTCTTCCTCCTCCGTCCTCTACTCTACAGGTTACTTTTCGTCACTGTCGGCATTCAGGAGCTACGTCAAGGACATCTGGTTCACGTCCTACACCCGGTCCGGCGGCGTCCTCGACTCGTCCGCCTTCGAGCACACGTTCGTCGGCGAGGTCAAGAACGGCAAGGTCAGCGGCTACCATAACTGGCTGGCCTTCTACGAGGACGAGCTCGAAGGAAATGTCAACTACTACGGTTACACCAGCGACAACGAGGTGGGTGACGAAATGGGCTTCGTTCAGATATGACGAGGCAAAACCGTTTTTTATTTTTATGGATACTAATTAAAGTTAAATGTGCGTCACATTCCTGCGTCTTTTAACACAGAGCTCATGAGTGAGTCCGCGCGGGACCTATGTTGCACGCAGTTGCTATTCATTTCCACTTTTTTTTTAACCGAGGCGTTGTTTTTTGCGGTTTACCGCATCTTACGTTAACAAGCCTTTAGGGAGAATACAGGTGGCTTTCATAAGCGCGTGCACACGAGGAGTTATTTAACTACCACTAATTACGCAAGCTGATTGGTCAGTTCAATATAATTCAAGAATAATAGGCCTCTAAAGATAACGCGGCTCTGTTTCCACTGAAATATTCGTCAAGCAAATGCTGTAAATTGCTATACGTCAGTATTTCGTCGAAAGTCGATTTATGGACAAGTCTGAAACTTTGCGCAAACCAATCCCACCCTGGTGTCCATGGCTAGAATTTGTGCCTGGACCAGTTCTGTCCAGGTACATGCATGTACCTGATTGCCCTCGAATGACGCAGTTAAATTAAGAGCTCGTGTGCACCTCTCTAGCTACGCTCATATAAAAAATAGCAATTGATGATGATGATGATGATGATGATAATGATGATGATCGTGGCGATGGTGATGGTGATGATGATGATGGTGATGATGCTAATCATGATGATCATGCTGCTGCTGATGATGATGTTGATGATGATGGTGATGATGATGATGACGATGATGTTGATGATGATAATGGTGATGATGATGATGATGATGGTGAAGATGATGATGATGATGATGATGACGACGACGATGATGATGATGATGAAGATAATGATGGCTTCTTGTATAGCGCCGGTATTTGCCTCTGCTTGGCGCTCATGGAGCATCGGTACATTGTGTTAATTGTGACTTTTTTTCAACAATAAATATTATTCAAAGTTGATAACAAATACTCATATTTCTATCCCTCTTCTCCATCCATCAATCCATCCGCAGCCCAACCAAATTCTGATGCAGTTCCGTCTTGACGATAATGGTTCCTCGTATTACAAGGAGCTGGCCTCCATCATCTACGGAGCCAGTCCCGAGTTCGAACTAGCCATCTTCACGGTTTGTTTCAAGGAGAACCCTAATGCTCTGAGTACCTTCACCATGGCCGGTGGGATAACACAGAAAGTACAGACATGGGACTACAATGGAGGATACATCGGATCCGCCTACTTCAGCGTCTAAAAATGGCGTTTACAATCTATCCTTTGGCTGTCTTGTCATTGGATATTATTCCCCTTATCCTATTATTCCATTCAATCAAATTCCATTATATATCAATATCTGTGGCCTCGCACAGAAGGAACATATACTTGGGTTACTCATTCTCTCGCTGTTTCAGGAGGCACTCGTTCTTCCTAAGATACAACAAATGATATAAACATATATTAACATTTATAAACATATATATCATATATAAACACATAATAATCATGCGTTTATATATGTTTATTAATATATAAACGTAAATATAAACATGATTATATAATTAATCGTGATGGTCGAAATTCAGTCATCAGTTTTACTAATTTTTCAAATATATTGGTCATTGAATATGTAATAAAAAGCAAAACCTATCATGTAAATTATTCTGTTCCACATGATCTGAAATTAAAGCATCCTTGCTGAAAAGAATACATGATTTTTTTTATTGTCGGTGTCAGTGATATTGTGTCATGGTTTACAACTGCTGAGATTGATGATGTAAAAACACGGTTTGTCGCCTCCAACGGTCATTATTACGTTCTATTTGTAATGTTGTCATGGTCGTCAGAGGCGTTACTTGAAACAAATAAGGCGCTAGTTTAAGTAAAACTGTCGCAGTATCGACTTGCGTAAAACACAGATAAGAAAAAAAAACAATATTCATCGAAATTTTGAATAGCTCATTTTGAAATGCGGAAAAGTAGGTGTAAAGTTCGCTGCCTTTTCAAATAATATGGTCAATAATCTACCAGCAAGCGAGCGAGTTGTAATCTTGTCTTCAGAGATAAAGATGAGAAAACTTATATCTTAAACAGATGTTGCATATTACCCTGCCTGTCAGCGTGATATCAAAGTCTGTGCAAACTCATACTCAATTATTAGCTTGATTAGGGCGATTAACACGCTTTTATCGCTTCATGCCTGTATACAAGATTAACAAGAAATTTTCAGTTGTATATTTTGAGAGTTTTCATGAATAAGTATAGAAGTTATTTATTAATCCAATTGAATTTTAACCATATACCGTCTGTAAGTAGCAAGAAGGGCGTTAAATCTTGATAGTGCTTCCTTGCAAAGCATTTTTTATGTACTGAAGAGACCTCCCCCCAGCCCTCAAAGCCAGGAGGGGAATGCTTGCCAAGATCGCTTACGACCTCCGGAAGCAAAAGGGAGTCTCCACTAAGATAATCGTTGTCGGAGCTTCAGTTGAACTCAAATGGAAGGAAAAAAACACCTCCAAGTGGAATAACCAGCAGGAGTAAGGTAAATCACCTCAGCATTGAACACAAATCACGATAATTATTCTCTACCTTCTCTGGAATGTGCTCTGTTTACTGTGTGATACATGTACATCTATTTTACCATTTCAACTTAAATGCATTTTAAATTCTGAATTAACTTTTGATTAACATGTAAACATACATGTAACCCGATACCGTAAGAAGGGTATCTCCCCCCCCCCCCCCCACTTCCCCCCTACTTTCTCCCCCCCCCCCCCCCCCCCTCTCTCTCTTGCTTTTGCCTGAATTTTCTAAATTTCTTCTACGTGCGGTGGCTGAAAGGAGCCCATGAGTTTCTTGTACGTGTTCTAGTATAAGTGCTAAGTAATGAATTTTCTTGTTTTTATTTCTTATCTGTGTTTTGTCTCGATCTTATTTCCAATGAATGTATACGTATGTACAATTGATTCAGTTAACTTCCTGATTGATGCTACCTGTACTAAATCGGTTATTACATTCTATTGCGAACCATCTCTAATTCTACTATACAACAAATGTCATATTATAAACCACGCCTTTTGTGTATTTACACCACCTGAACGTTCTTCTTTCCTATTCATATTTATATACATGTCATTCCAGTTCATCTACTGGATTCTCCGTTACTCACCTGTTACTTCATGTTTTATCAATGACTGAACCTCTATTATCTAATGTTGGTAATGATCAACAACTTTTACCACCTGATAATTCACAGGCATCCTCCTCTTACATAACTACAGATAACGTTCGTCATGAAGCTGACACGGCTGAATATTTAAATTTATGCACTGCTGAGTTGCAACTGAACATGGACTCATGTGAGTCATTGTCAGGCAGCAAACATTCACGCTATTTTACAGAATCCCAGTTCATTGATCATTTTTCAAAGGCTGTCAATAAACTATCTTTTCTACAATGCAATGTCAGAAGTCTCGGTAAAAATTTTGACCAGTTTCAACTACTCCTGGACAAAATTAAATATGATTGTTCATTCATTGGTATTTGTGAAACCTGGATTAAATCTAACTCCTCACTATTTTTTATTGATGGCTACACTCTTGTCACTAATAACAGGATAAACAAAACTGGCGGCGGAGTTGGCTTGTATATTTCAAATGATTATGCATCCAAAAGACTTAATGACTTAACCATCATGTCTGATATATTTGAAAGCATATTTATAGAGATCGAAGTTCCTGGTAAAAAACATATCGTTATTGGTGAAATCTACAGGCCACCTCAAAGTAATTTCATTGAATTTCTTGAAATTGTTCAGACTATTTTATCATCACCTCATATTGCCAATAAGATGTGCTTTATAATGGGCGACTTTAATGCCAACTTGTTATCGTGTGACTCAAATTCTCAGTATTTGGATTTCTTAAATTTGCTTTTATCCCATTCTTTTCTTCCCCAAATCACCAAACCAACAAGAATATCAAATAGCAGTCACACTTTGATCGATAATATTTTTACAAATGTATCTTCTTATATTGAATCTGGTATAGTACTTTCCGACTTGAGTGATCACTTCCCTGTGTTTGCTTTCATTCCCAATTTTCACTCTCAGTGTAATTCCAGTAAGCAGGTGTCGGGTTTTCGTAATTTGTCCCATGTGAACATCGAACGATTTCGACAAAGTCTTATCTCTACTGATTGGTCTGAATTATATAATTGTCAAAATGTAAACGATTGTTATAATAGGTTCCTTGAAATTTTCGATGATTTATACAACCTGTATATTCCGATATGTATTCCATTGCGTTCTAATTACAAAAAAGTGCCCAGACTGCCTTGGGTCACTAAATCTCTTTTGAAGTGCATTAACCGTAAAAACAAATTGTTCTATAAATATAAAGTAAAAGAAACTGAGGGCTCTAAATTGAAATACAATAGATATCGTAATATTCTTACATCTTTATTGAGACAGGCTAAAAAAGACTATTATTCTTCACAATTCAATTTATATAAAAATGATGCTAAAAATACGTGGAAGATTATTAATAATGTCCTGAAAAGTAAAACTAAGTCTATACACATTGAGAGTGTGATTGATGATGGTGTGAAGATTCAAGACTCTCGTGATTTAGCTGAATCTTTTAATTCTTTTTTTGTTCAAATAGGGCCAAAGCTAGCTGAGAAAATACCCACATCTGGTAAACCCTTTCATTCTTTTCTCACAAATTCCAACCAAAGTTCATTCTTTTTAACTCCAACAGACTGTTCTGAATTAATTAGTATTGTCAATAGTTTTAAGAATAAAAAAAGTGCAGGTGCTGATGGCATAACTAATTTTCTTTTAAAAAAGGTAATCGGTGTGATTGCCCATCCTCTTGCTCATATTTTAAATTTATCTTTACTAAATGGTATTGTACCTCAAAAAATGAAAATTGCTAAGGTGGTTCCTATATTTAAATCTGGTAGTAAAGATGACTTGGGTAATTATCGCCCAATTTCCTTGCTTTCGTCGTTTTCAAAAATGTTAGAAAAGCTTATTTATACTCGTACCTTTAAATTCATATCTAAATTTAATATATTATCGTCATCTCAATATGGCTTCCGACGTAAACACTCCACAACTCATGCATTACTCATGTTCATTAATAAGATTGCATGTGCTATTGATAATATGTCCCATACTATTGGCATTTTCCTGGACTTCTCCAAGGCCTTCGACACAGTTAACCATGATATTCTCTTATATAAACTATCCCATTATGGGATCAGAGGGAAGGCCTTGGAGTGGTTCAGGAATTACCTCACAGACAGAATGCAATATGTTAATTTAAATGATCATGACTCAGGTCTACGACATATCACTTGTGGTGTCCCGCAAGGATCTCTCCTGGGTCCGCTCTTGTTTCTACTTTACATTAATGATTTCCAAACTTCCTCCCCCATTTTGTCATTCATACTTTTTGCCGATGATTCCAATATTTTCTTTACTCATCCAAATCCCAATATTATTGCTGACGTTGTAAACAATGAATTACTATCTGTTTTGGAGTGGATTAATGCCAATAAATTATCTCTTAATGTGACTAAAACGAACTATATGCTTTTCAGTAACTCCATAACATCACTACCTGGTAACATTTCCATTAATGACATAAACATTTTATTTGTTGAACACACAAAATTTCTTGGTCTTGTTATAGACTGTAAACTTAATTGGAAAATGCACGTTGGAAATTTATGTAAACTTTTATCACGAAATACCGGCGTCATCAACAGACTTAAACACTTTTTTCCTCTTGATGTCCTGTTGAATCTATACTCCACCTTAATTTTCCCTTATTTAAATTACGGTATTTTAGCATGGGGCAACTGCTCCAAGACTCAACTGCATAGTTTATTGGTCATTCAGAAAAGAGCCCTGAGAATAATTCACAATGTTGGTTTCCGGTCACATTCAAACATCTTATTTTTCAACAATAACCTTTTACATGTGTCTGATATATTTCTCTATAATGTGGGTATTTTCATGTATCAACTTACAACAAATGATTTGCCTGATTCTATTGCTTCTCTTTTCACTAAGAACTTGGATATTCATTCATACCCTACCAGGAAAAGGAATGATTTTCACATCCCCCGTTTACGCACTTCATTTTCTCAAAAAACAATTGTATATACTGGTCCGTCTTTTTGGAACAATCTTCATCCTGATTTACTTCACTCTTCTTCTATTCATCAATTTAAATATAAACTCAAGTTACATTTGTTGAATGCCTACAATAATAATGATGATTAGACATTTCATGTATAATGTTCTTTTTTTATAACGTGTACCATTTTACAATTCATTTTACAATTCATTTGCAATTTTAGGCGTTCTTTTGCCTATGTGACATTTAAGTGGATTTTAACAGGAAAGGAATAAATAATTCATGATTTCTATTGTTCGGTTTTTGTAAACGTTCAGGTGGTGCAAACATGTATGGTGCATACTCTGCTATTTATTGGCTCGTGACTACTCTTCGGTTTAATGTATTTCTTTTTCTTTCTTTTTTCTGTATTGTATTGTATTGAACTCGCAAACAACTATTTGTCAAACTACTACCGTCTTAATTTTAATTGTGTACCTCTCTCTTCTGTAAACACTTTCTGTCCCTGTTATTTTTCAAGTCGCCCAGGAACCTATTCTTTACAAGCTCTGCTTTTCTGTAGGTTCCTGCACATTTCACAGTTTGTACTTTTATCTGGGTTTCCTTTAAATGATATTAGTTGTCAAACAAATGTGATGATTACCTTGTCAATTAATATAATCATTTTGTTATATTATGAAACAATATGTCTTTTATGTATATTTTGTTATCTGTATTATTTCTGCATGTGAAATGTGAAATCAATAAACTCAAACTCAAACTCAAAACCCTGCTTGAATAACACATAATAAATGAAAAACTGAGTGAATGCATAATTTTTACGCCAAACAAAATATAGCCCTATTATTCCTAATTTTTCATTTCATTTCATTTCTTTACTGTGTCCATATAGGATAATTGTTTATATTTACATGAACAATCTTGCTTCAACATATGAACATAGGAACAACATATAATTGACATTCATAGGGCCCTGTTTTAGTATACATTTGATATAATATACATGGTCATGATGAATATACATTTAAATACTCTTTCTTCTTTCTTCTTCTTCTTCTTCTTCTTCTTCTTCTTCTTCTTCTTCTTCTTCTTCTTCTTCTTCTTCTTCTTCTTCTTCTTCTTCTCTCTTTCTTCTTACATACCCTCCATTTTCTTTTATTCTTATATGCTCTAATCTGAAGTAGATATTTTGTTTAAAAATTATTTCTTGATATGGTATAACGGTAGGGGTACAACAGTAAAGTAAGTATACTGAAACAATATTCGTGTAACATGTAAATGAGGGTATTTTGCATGGTTTCCACATGGGATTATGACCAATAAGTATGAAGATAAAGTACGGTCGGTCAGTCTCATGAGACTCGAGCTTCAAGCCTATATAACAAGCACCTTGTACACACACGGAGCGTCATTTACGTGACGTTAGACTGCGTCAAAGACCTGCGTCAGCCGCTTGTGTCATCATCGTAAGAGGGGGCATCGCACCCAGAGTGGATGCGTGAAATGAACAGTACAAACATTACTTTGAATTACTGTTGCTTTGATTAATAGCCTTCACCGTTTAGCGGGAATAATTAGCACCCGTTGAACGTGAGGTGTCTATTCGAGTACCTTCACTGTGAACTTAAGGCGCTTTGTGCAGACGCTAATCATTCGACACAAAGCCTGAATTCTTTTGTAATTAATTCATTTTTTTTTTTCATTTAATTTTATGAACAATGTCATTCCCGCATGGCACGTCAACCGCCGCGTCAGTCGCTGCATGGCGCAGCCCTGGTAAAGCAAATGACGCAAAGTGCGAACATGGTGAAATGGGCATTGCTAATTACATTAGGACCAAAATGTTGTTGAAGCTACAGAAGATCCTTTTGGTATTTATCCAAACAGGAATAATTTAAATGAAAATGAAAATGAATTAGCCATTGTTTTGAATTGATATTAAGCATTTTCCTGCGGACATGACGCGAATTTGGCCTTTGAAACTATTTGGATTCTGTACGTATCTCAAAAAAGGTTTAACCATTTCCTCTCAATGTCCGTTGTCCTCATATATTATTATAGTACATGTAGGTGTAAACAGACTGGGAAAACACGGGGGGGGGGGCGAATCCCAATCAAACATCATGGCCCCTGTACTGAATGTATGACATGATGTAAACAAAAACGTAATGGAGAAGAGATCGAGAAAAAGAAAAGAAAGAAGACATTAAGACGCACAGTGAGAGACAGACATAATCATATTGGGAGAGAAAGAGAGAGAGAGAGAGAGAGAGAGAGAGAGAGAAAAAAAAGGGGGAGGGGAGAGAAGTAAATATGGAGAGAGAGAGAGACAGAGGGGGAAGGGAGAGACAGAGAGAGAGAGAGGAGTGAAGGAGATAGAGAGAGAGAGAGGGAGTGTGTGTTAATAGAGATAGCGAGAGAGAGAGAGAGAGAGAGAGAGAGAGAGATACAGAGTATGTACACGACTATGACTAGTATGAGAGGCGAGAGTTGGAGATCCGAATTAAAGCCCTTAACATGCCTAATGTTACATGAGGTGCACACAAGGGGGGTTATTCTGAATCAGTTCTCAATCTGCTCTGAATCAATTCTGAGTCATACAACGATCTCACATGATAAACCTGCCCCTCCCCCTTCCCCCTCCGTAAAAACATTCACGCAGTAAGGCCCCAAACGATTTATAACTATTTCCGGTTAATGCAACAACTTTCAACTCGGGTTTTTACCGATTTGAATGCTTTAGCTTCGTTGCAATCATGTAGATCAACTACACTTTCATTTTGATTTCATATGGTTGTGTTGACAAGCCCATTATACTTCATTAATTCATACTCGTATCATCATGGGAAACTTGCCGAATCAAGTTCTCCAAACACTGATTCTTCTTCTGGTTACTGTCATAGCGGTACAAGGTAAGTTCATAATTATGCTTATTAATTTCGCTTATAATAATTATAAACCCATTTCGACGTATTACTCCAGTCGATGTATAAGGTCGAAAAATTGCGCGTAACAGTCGTATTCTGTGCATTATCGAATGGTAAAAGCGGGTGGCATTCAACTATGTTGTTTGGTGATCATGAGAACAGTAGGCTGAGAATTAAAGTTGAAGACGATAAGATTGTATTGATGTTAATTTTACTATGTAAATCAAAAAAGCTAGTTGGAAACGCATAGAGACGTTATAATGTGATATATGCGCTGTACAAGATCCGAATATTATTATGATTATCATTATTACTATCAGAGTAGCAATGAGAATTTTATAACAGTTAAGTTATACGGTAAAGTAATAGTTTTGGTATTACGTGGTAGATATGCGTTCGATGATGGTGGTGATACTATTAAATTAATGACAGGAGTAGGTGAACAAACAACACAAACAGGCCGTTCATAAAGTTACAGTTCTGATTATTAATTATACGAATAATTATGTCGGATGGTACAGAGCAGCAAGAAAAGCGATTATGACGGTCGAGATTGTGACGGTCGAGTTAAATGAATAACTGGTAGCAGGCATTAACTCAATAGAGAGAAGAAGTGTAGAAGGAATAATTAAATCCTGGTGATATATGCTACAATGAAATGAATTCAGCTACATTTATTTATATTTAGACTGGCTTCATGTCGAAAAGTCTCCTAAAAAGCCATTTCCATTCCAGATCTTTATGAAATATCAAGAAGTGAGAGTGATTAACTACCACATTTTAATTGCTGTCGCAACGCAATCATCGGCGATTAGAATTATTTCTGCAACCCAGTAGATTTTAAGACATTCCGATACTGTCATTATTAATTACTTTTCCTTTAGTTATAACCTTTAAATGTCTTTGAGTCTTTCCTACTTTTGCATCTCACTGATATAGCCACTTGTCAATCAAACCCATTTCAAAACTATGTCGACCTACTCGGTTTTCTTAAGTGCAAAGTGTCGATCTGAAGAAAGACAGTATGGCCTTCAGTTTAAATGAAATGAAGAAGAATCTATTATCCTGATTGATATTTGAATGGTACTTGTGATAAGAGCACTCCCGTGCTGAAACCAAAACTTCAGTTATCTTCACGGATTATCATTGTTCAGCCGTAATCAGGCGCGTACGCAGGGGGGGGGGGGGGGGGGGTTAATAAACCCGCCCCTTCAATCCTCCCCAATGAGCGAAATATCGTAAGGCGCGATTTTCAAATTTCCGGGGACAACAAAAAAAGAAGTTAGTGCTCATTACCACCCCCCTGTCACTCTTTGCTTCAAGTATTCAAGGTTTTTAGGAGAGTTTTTTTTTGGAGCTACTGCGCAATATCAAGAAACCTTTCAGAACCCTGTTTTCTAAAAGGGTACTCCCATAATTTGCATTATTATGTATCATGTACACTGCATAATTATAAGGTACCATACTTACTATCTTTCATATTGCCTACTTGAATATTATTACCTTCTTCCATGCCTGATGTCTATACAATCGGTAGACTTAAAAAAAACCGCACCCCAAGAAATATCTTTACTTGTTCTGAGAGATTTATTATATTCTTGCCCATTAATCTGCAAGATTCCCCACCAAAGTGTATGAGAGAGGCGAGAATAATGTACAGTTTCTCAGCACGACATGGGCATCGCCATCTTCTTGATAACGTGACGTACTATGTGAAATCTTTTAGCAATAAAAGTTAATGCATTCAAATTTATGGATGCTTCCTTCCAAGGTGTGTGTGGTGATGAAGCATTTCATTCACCTGTTATTATCTTTTGCAACACAATTGCCAGAACGCAAATTGCATAAATAAGTTGGTGCTCTTCTAGGGTTAAGGTTTCTCATTAATGAAATAGATTTGTCAACTACTATATTTTAGTATTTTTAAATGAATTGTTCCCCTTCTTGTTATATATTGTTTACCAAATATCATTTCTATCTTCTCAGCTATGATTTGTCTTCATTAAAAAGCAAAGGTCTTGTTATTGATTAAAAAGTATTTCCAACTAAAGCTTCTTGGTGCGTGATACATGTTCAACTTCATCTAAGTACTTCACACTTTTAAAGAAAATGGCTGTACGCTAAAATGTGTCAACATGATGCCAAGATATGTATAACTCTTTTAACTCTTATTTTTTATAAGGAATATTTTACATCAAAGGGTAGACATACCTCTCATTTATCAAAACACCTACACTTATTCATTGGGGTGAGGTTTCTGTAAGAAAACACGAATGCTATGATGCTTACACCATGGGCTAATGTTGATACTACCAGTACTGATATGAGATACGATTCCATCATAGATTGGTGTTTTTCCGGTTCCGATGCCGTCCCAGTCGCCTGAGTAGAGACTCGAACTTGGATCGCACTTTCTGTAGAGTTTCCCTCCTGATTTTGTGTTGTCGAATCTAGTCTTGTAAAATCCACCGTGATGACTTCACATTGCTCATCTTCTCTTGAATTGTTGTAGAGAAGTTTTGGGTCTGAAACAATTAGCGAGAACGTTGAACTTTCGTAATTGGCATATTTTCTAAAATCCAAATTTGTCATGTTAAGAATAGTGATCTCTGACGTTGCATCGTCCGAACCGCAGAGGAAGAAGAGGATACAATCAGCATCTCTTGCACTTCTTTCATTGTCATTTTGTGTAGATTCGACAGGTAATCCATTGCCATCACCGTCGTATACTAGTAGGACGGGTCTGCCTGGCTTGTCGACGCAACATTCAAAGTCCACATTTTCACCAAGAGGATATTCAATAGGATGAGGTGTGACCACGGGGAATTCACACACTTCTCTCACTTGTCTATTCTGGTAAGAAACAATACACTTCTTAGATACCGTGATTTCATCAAGTATCTCATCAAGACCAACGTATACGCTGAATTGATGCGTCATATTATGAAATGAACCGTTGAAATTCAGTTCCGGAATCTGATGTTCATATACGATTTCATTGTCTACTACAAAGTGTGCTCGATCCCCTTCCTTCATTTGCAGCCATTCACAAGACATCTGTAATTTTCTGCTTTCAGTGTTGAGTTGTGTTGAACATATCGGTTCTAGAGTTTTGACGGTTAAATTCAGCACGAGAGCTAGACAGAGTGGCTGGCCACCTAGGTTAATTGTGACAACATGATGTCCTGAATCAATCTGCTCCGTGTGGCCAATAAACAAATCAAAAGTAATGTTACTGACTTCAGTCAATCTGTAACGGCCAACTTCAAAATCTCCGTAATCGTTGTATTCTAAAATTCCATCGTTTCGTATTACCAATGATTCTACTTTTCTCCACATTAACGTTTGAACGTTTAGCAATGGATGTCTCAAATACAATCTAATGGAAATATTCTGTCCGCTCCAAACGTCCATCACTTTTTCTTTTTCCCTTCCACACCAAATTGATCGATCATAAGACAAGGTGACGTGGACAATACTTGGCAAAATAAGAAACGACAAAATCATTTTCCTGGTGAAATAGACATTTTGTGTAGACATTTCCAAAGAGTTCACAGGCCGAATATTGTCGATATCAAACTCGTTCTTGCAATAAAAATTAAGCCGGGTTCTTATTAAAGCCTCCTATGTATTGGTATACACATCTGTAAATGATTTTGATTGAAGTTATTGATGGGAACGACGCACCATACTACCATGAAGAAAGGTCCTGGGCAGACGTAGCGAATCAAATGATAAGGAGCGTCGTCAAAGTCATAAGTGGTTTTGTTCCCGAATTTGTTCAGGCCAATATTCGTATAACTATACAGCTATAGAAGATAGCTTTAGACAGATACCGAGATGTGATTGGTTCAGAGCTCGTCACGTCATGATATCGATTGCGAGGATCGTAATTCAGTTTTCCTGGCCGGTCACTTTCGATGGTTACATTGACCAGCTGGTGAAATGAATTGTTAATCAATGCATGTCGCCCTCTTGAGGACTGTATGCATTTCCCCCTTGATTTTCTTCTCTTCATAAGAATCAGTACGAAGGTGATGAAACGACGGAAATATATATATATACATAAATTAATTTTCAGTGTATTTTGTTCGGTAGCAACTTTCTTCTTGTTTGCCTTCAACTAAATTTCTCTCTTATTTCTTTAATACTTTGGGAAGGGGGGGGGGGCTTTTTTCTCTCTACTAAGAAATAACATAATAATAAGACATCATGATTATTCATTCACCCCTGATAAAGTTATTTAATCTAGTCCAACGTGATCTTCCTTCCATCAATTAAGAATTAACACATGTTAGTGTGTTATCACACTGTTCCAATAAATCCTTTACCATATCATATTCAAGAAATATGTATTTTTATGTTTCTTCATCTTTTCCACCAAAGGAGCACTTACCACTTGATACGAATCGAAACTTCGATTCATATCAAGTGCGAAGTGCGCAGTGATAAGTACGTGATGATTAACATAATAGACCAGTTTGAATTAGAATTCTCGTAGTCTATTATCTAATGTGCATATTCTGGCCGGGAAAGAAGAGCTATTTCTATTTCCTTAACCGACATATATTATGAAGATTACAAATTATAAAAACGTACAGGAGTAGCCTATTTACCATATTTTATAAACAGGCTTTGAATATATTTTTCGAACAAACTGAATCAAGTTGAAACGTTTTTCTTTGAAAACATAAAACTCAATTTGATAAACACATTCATATCAGTCCAGATAATGAAAATTTCCTGGCAGTATTTTGGTAGTGGTATGTCAATCATTTCAGGCAAAAGATTACAATGAAAATTAAGATTTCAACCGAAGGATCTCATTATAAATTTGATTTTTTTTTTTTTCTTCTCCATTTCTCTTTCTGGTCTCTAAAAAGTTTTTTTTTATTTTTTTAAAGCATTTTCAGTCCTCCTTGCTAATCTAGATACAGGGCACACCTTTTAATCATATCACTACGTTGCCATAGAAAATACTTTAAAAACTCTTAAATTTCTTTAAAAACCCATTTTGGCACAGGAATTAAAGAGCTAACATAAATCAGTTTTTAGCATGCATATTTTGTATACATCTATCGATGATTATCTGCAGGAAAATAACGAGGCACACGAAGATATGTATGTATAGTGCTTTCACAATTTTTCTGTTTTCTTTTTACTACAAATTTCTTTCCTAAAACTTTTTTTTCTTTCAGCTGTGACATCATGCAGAGGTCGATGTGGTGGTTCTTTTAGACGAGACAACCAGTGTCAGTGTAACAGAGCATGCGCACGATTCGGAGACTGTTGCCATGACTACCAGACGCTTTGTGATGGAGGTACTTGCATAGAAGAATATATCACTAATCGATTAAAGATGATACAATATGTACAAAGAAAAAAGAAACAACTGTAAACAAATTAAACAGTCATGGAAAATTATCACAAAATAGTATCTGGATGTAAAGTATTTCAAATATGTCTTTTAGATAAAATATACTCATTCCATTGGGGAATGGGAGCTTTGTCACAATAGAGCCTTGGGATCACGGCCTGCATTCATCCAATTCAAATCTTTAAATAGTGAATAGTCATCTCGAACACAGTTTTTGTTTTTGCTGTTATTTTCTAAAATACCCTCTTAAATTTTCATCAAAGAACTTTCCATTTTATTCCATTTAATGATATGTATTATTTAAAATTGTTGTTAAATTTATCTAAACAACCGCCTTTACAATGGCACCTACATCTCCGTTACCAATGATGATTTCAGGAGGTAGACCTGGAGGAGCCCCGGTTGCTAAGCAACCCATCTCATCAGGGGACATCTCTCGCCTTGCGCACAGCCTTTGGACCGCTGATACCAATCGCGTACCAGGGATGATGTACTCCATCCGTAAGCAGACAAGAATCTCTCATCTGTACAGGCGTAGAGATAGGGCTCCCAAGAGGTAAGTGGTTTATTATGTGACCAGGGGGTGTTTCACAAAGATCCTACGTCGAACTTAACTTAACTTAACGAAGTTGGACTTAACAATTATAGAAAGCCGTTAGCATCTTTGAAAATATTTTGTTAAAGTTATTTTAAAAGGCATAAAGACAGTGTTGATTCAAATCACTCTTATTTTCTAATATCAAGGAGATTTCATGTTCTTTAGGTGGAATTTATGAAAAGTCTAAAATACTATAATTTTCGCTTTGTAATATATTCTATTTTAAGGCTACAAATGGCTCTTCATATTTTCCAAGTCCAAATTAGTGTTTAGTTCAACATAGGATCTTTGTGAAACCCTTCCTCATATCACTTAATGTGTACCTTTTCTCATTTTGATAAACATTTTTGCCCACTGGCAAAATCTAAAAAACAAAAAGTTTATAGGTTGGGGGCAAAAAATATTAAAGTATTATCATACAATTGCATTGAAATGCACATTTTGCTACATGTGATTCGGTGTTCGCTTGCGAAGTAACAAAGTCCATGTCTTGAAAATCACAATAAAATCAGAAAATTCGAGAAAATTATATTTAGTATAAATAAAAACCATGAAATTAAACAAAATCATATCTGTCTCTCTCTCTCTCTCTCTCTGTATATCTATGTCTCTCTCTCTCTCTCTATCTCTCCCTCCCTGCCTCCATCTCCTGTTCCCTTCTCCCTTCCTCTCTCTCTCCCTCTCTCTCTCTCTCTCTCTCTCTCTCTCTCTCTCTCTCTCTCTCATTCTCTCTCCCACCAGCCTCTTTACCAACGTCCTGCCTGCAGCTCTCTACGGCCCCACCCTCACACCTTTCCGGGCGCTTCTCAACAACTACGAGCGATCGACGGGCGTGGCGGAACGGACGACGACCACCGAGCAACGAGAGATTGATGCATTTCTGACGGCAATTTTCAATACTGATGTCATTCAAAGCACCTACAATCTGCTTTATAACAAAGGTAGTATTGGTCATCATTTTTTGTGTAGAGTAACTGAATTTTTGAAGAAATAATGTAGTTATGAAGTTCACTATTAACTGAAACAATCACATTTCATGAACATTAAAACTCTCTTCCGAATTTCGCGAGTTGTCCGAACTCGTGAGAAGTGTCTTGCTGAGAAAAATCCTGCCATTGTAAACGAAAGTTTCAGATTGCGAATGTTCCTAATTTCACCGCGGTTTTTGTTTTTCTTCCTTCATTGGTGCGTGAACGTATATTCATAGATTTCTCTCTGCCAGTCGAAATACAACTAATTCGGGCTTGTTATTTTTCAACGCATTGATTGTATTCCATTCAGTGTATATTTTCATTAAATGTTTCGACAACGATATCCAGTGAATAGGCTTAACCCAAATGCTGCCGGTGGCCCGATGTTGGGTAATTGAGTAACAAAATGGAATATTTTCTCAAAATCGTCAAGCTTAAATAAATTTTCCTTTCTCGTTTCCACATTCGCAGGTCATTTTTCGTCTAAAGCTGATTTCAAAGACTTCATGAAAACGACATGGTTTGGCCTCTACTCGCGATCAGGAGGCACGCTTGACTCATCTGCCTTTGAACACACGTTTGTTGGGGAGATGAAAAATGGCGCCGTGACTGGCTTTCACAACTGGATTCAATTTTGTCTTCAGGAAAGGGCGGGAAACCTCAACTATTACGGATACAGAAGTGAAAAACAGGTGAGATGACTGGGTTACATAATATGCGCACATATAGCACACAATGGATCCGAATTCTCTGGAAGTTATATGTTGTAAGCTTGAAAGAATGTCACAATTTAGGTACCTTCTTCATATTTTGGATTGGATACAAGGCCACATTTCGATATCATCTTGTGTGTGCCCAAGTCAATTTAGTTTATCTTTCCCCGCGCCTCCTAAATCCATCGTGAGTTATGTGAGCTACCGTGATCGAGGCATGGGGGAATGTGACCCCAATCGAAAGAAGAAAAAGAAGAGTGGGGCGTGAGGAATGGAAATATTTAAATAAAAGAGGGAGGGAGGCAGGGGCGGATCCAGCCGGCGACGAGGAGGGGGGGGGGGGGGGGCCAAATCTTGAGGAAAATTTTAGTGCCGACTCAGCCGGCCATTGAATAAGCGGGGGGGGGGGGTGGAGAGGAGAACGACTAATTTTTTTTTGAGGGGGGGTGAAAATATAATTTTTTTTTTTTTTTATTTTTTTTTTGGGGGGGGGGGGTCCGGGGTGGTCAGGGGGCCGCTTTTGTTTTGTGTTTAAAAAAAGGTTAAATTTACGTTGTTATCCTATTTTTTTACCAAAGAGGATCATCATACCCAGGCCGTTATACAACCATCCCAACTCTATCTGATCAAAACAGTTTTATTTTAATCAAGACAGTACATTCTAATTCTTATCTTTCTCATCCTTACAGCCTAACCAACTCCTCCTCCAGTTCAACTGGTCTGGTCAAGTCAAGACACTCTCCTCGATCATGTACGGTGTCAGCCCCGAGTTCGAGCTCGCCCTCTTCTCTGTATGCTTCATAGCGCGACCCAGCGATCTCTGCACATTCACACTCAACGGACATAACGTAGCTATACGGACGTGGAAGATAGAGGGAGACAAACTAGGTGCCGCCTACTTTCACGTGTAGTTCAAGAATTCAACTTTCAAGAGAATGTGTTCCTAGAATACCAATACTGGTGAACACAACGTGATTGAATGACTTTTTAATTAAATTTAAAATGTGTGATAAAAAGCAACAGTAAGAAAAAATATTTAAAAATAAAGAAAAAGAATCTAGGCTCGAATCAACTGATGTCTGAAATTATTATGACCTTATAATTTGTCGTTCTGTTAGACAGGCATAATAATATATGATAGATACACGATGGTGATGCCGCAGACATGTCACACCCATACAGAGACATTGGCCAACCTCACGAGTCTGTATTTCTTTTCCAAAAATGTATCGTAAGACTAGAATTTCGTCATCTCTATGTTTCTTCGTCTCAAATAAAAGGGTTGTATATACTTCAAAAGATTCGTAACAATAATATATTTTTTTCTTGATTTTTTAAAAAATTGTCATAACATCAATATAATAATATGTCATGTACCCGACGATAGCTAGCCTCTGCTAGCGTATTATGATAGGCCTTTAGGCAAGGTTAGCTCTCATTATTAAACAAATGTGTGTATACCAAAAAAATGTATAAATTTGTTAAGAAATGATTGGCATTGATATATAATAATTAAAGAGATTCCAATTTAATTCTTAACATGAAAATATTCAAATTAATGATTTTGATGATGATGAAGATGATGTTATTGACGATGATGATGATGATGATGATGATGACGATGATAATGATGATGATGATGATGTTATTGATGATGATGATGATGATGGTTATGATGATGATGATGATGATGCGGATGATGATGATGTTAATGATGGTGATGATGATGATGATGATGAAGATGATGTTATTGACGATGATGATGATGATGATGATGATGACGATGATAATGATGATGATGATGATGTTATTGATGATGATGTTAATGATGGTTATGATGATGATGATGATGATGATGCGGATGATGATGATGTTAATGATGGTGATGATGGTGACGATGGCTGTAATGGCAGTGGTGGTGTTGATTTGTGTAGTGTTGGTGGTGGTGGTGGCGATTTCAGGATAGTGATATAACGATATAGAGGCAGATGTTTGCACATCAAGTTCTGACCTCGCCCCGTCCCCTACCCCTCCAAATGTCCCCCTTTAATTTACGTCATCGGTTGTGAACTGCACTGCTGTTAATTAATGAGCAAACAATGTCTGGATATAATCATATCTATCAGAGTCAATAGAATAATCTTGGTGAGGGATACCCAACTGTTCTAATAAACCAATGTGTTATTATAACAGATCAGAATTAAGAAACTATGGCAGACTCCAATAAATTCGTCTAGTTGTAAAACATTAAACAAGTTTCAAAAATTGGTCATAAAGAATAATCATGATGAGAATCGTCATCATCCTCCTCTCCGTTGTCGCTCTCGTCTGGGGTCGGGAGCTTGCACCCCTTCGTAAAGCACCCAAGAAGATCAGCGACCGCCACATCGTTGTCCTAGAGGTATGTATCAGAACATTCAGGTTTAGAATCATAAGATGACATCATTAGGCAAATGTTGGCAGTATGGGGCAGTAGGTCTAATCGTCATTGCCACCAATATATATTAGAGAAAGATAGAAATGAAATACTGTCTTCCAATACGAATGGGTATAAACGATCAAATGATCAATTATTAATAAAGGTTTTAAAAAACAACTAAAGTATATACATGAAAAGAAAGTAATCTATTGTATAAATTACGTATTATCTTGCTTTAGCGCCATCTTGATGTCGAAGACTTTGCCAGGAACCTTTTCGATGACGCTGCCTTGTTTGACCAGCGACCCGTCATCGCCAGCAAGCTACGTACCGCCATCAACGCCGTCATCGTCGATATGAACGACGAAATGGTTGATTGGGTAAGTTTTAAAATCTGAGGCCCCCCATCCCCCCCCCCCCAAAAAAAAAAAAAAATCCTTTCTGCTTGCTTCTTTGGTAAGTTCTGATCGAACATTTGGGCAGTCCGTTAACCCATTCAAAATTGCTACGGTTCTGTATGACTGTAAATAGTTATTTTGCATAAAACGGTTGTACACAAATATTATTTCTATTCCTAATTGATATTTTCCAATCGAGATGGATGGTCACGATTTTCAAAACTGTATGGATGTACATATTCAGTTATGTTTTATTCTTCATTTCTTGCATAAAACACTTGCTATGTTAAAAAGTGATTTTCTAAGTGAAGATTACCATGCGATAAATTAGGTGATTTTATAACGAGATTATTTTAATGTAAGGTTCCTCACTTACTAACTCTCGTTGGACAATCTTCACCTGGACTTATCAACAAGTTTTGTCCTATGCCCGACACCCTCCCCCGTTTTTAAATTTTGTCAGAGGTGGTTAGAGGGCAAAAAAGTAATAATTGAAGAGATATTGTGAAATTGATCCTGCCATAGGGAATTTTCGTATTGTAACAGAATTTATACTTCAGTGCCTTGATACGAATTATTTCATTCACCTGTTACGAATAATTGTATTTTAAAGCCCTACTGTCCTACTTGTAGCTACTTGCTCCCTCTATATAGAAAACTTCCCCTATCGGTGCCTGTTGGTCCCCCATGATCCTCTTTTTCTTATGTTAGTTGAGAGCTGAGTTGATGAGATAGCCACCTGTCAGTGACCTCGCTGTGTGGTCTAATCCCTTCTGGCCCAGTATTATTGACGGTCTTTAATAGTCAGAATGCAAATTATATATACAGTGTACTTCGTGTTGTTAGGTAGGACAAGCCATAATGTTTGTCCAGCCTATAGCAAGAACTAATATATGCAATTTATATTCTGACGATTGAGATACATTTATTCATAGCATGTGATTGGAATCATTCGTATAGAGGCGCTTCACAAAGGCATATGCAAAAATTGGTTCTAGGACACTTACCCCCTGGACATCCACCACCCCCCCCCTCGGTTAACCACCCCAGTCGACTATCCCCTAGGGCAACCACTTTCTAGGACGACTGCCCCCTGGACAACTACCCCCGGACAACTACCCCGGACAACTACCCCCTAGGACAACTACCCCCTGACAACTACCCCTAGGACAACTACCCCCTAGGATAGTTATCCAGGGGGTAGTTGTCGTAGAGGATGGTTGTCGTAGAGGATGGTTGTCGTAGGTCCGTAGGGGGTAGTTGTCTGGGGGTGGTTATCGGGGTGGATGTCCGGATACGCCATAAATTTGGTTACATTACGAAAATGGTCGGTTGCTTGATTTTATGTTCTTATTTCTACCAGGTTCGCTCTCTCGATGGTGTACGATTCGTGGAGGAAGACTCGTTCACCCAGGTAGAGTCTGAGAACTGGGGAACGGATCGCATCAACCAGCGCGATCCTCCTCTCGATAGTGATGATTCAATGCGTGAGCTCAGTTTTATTATCATCAACTAGTTATGTAGATTCCACCCCAACCCCCCCTCTCTCTCTCTCTCTCCATATATATATATATATATATATATATATACTATAGAAAGGGGGTAACTACACTGTCGCTCATATAGTTGGAACATATTTTTTTTAAACCCAATTTATGGATTTATTTTGACAATGATTTATTCCTAATAGATTTAGATAATAGTATACATTTTCAGATTTTATTGAATAATAATTTGCCAATGTGTGTTTTGCGTGACTGCTAAAGCATGTGTATGCTACTATGCTTATCAACTAGGGGACCCAGTGGCGGATCCAGGGGGGGGGGGGCCCGGGGGGCCCGGGCCCCCCCCCCCCCCCTTGAGAAAAAATCATGTAAAATCACGTGATTTGTACCTTTTTTTGAGGTTGGGCCCCCCCCCCCCTGGCGCTCAAGGGGGGGGGGGTGCAAATCGAAAAATTTTTGAGGATCAAAAAAAAAAAAAATGTGCTCTTTCCCCCCCCCCCCCCCCCCCCCCCCCCCCCCCCCCCCCCTCCACTGAGCGACTTTTCGGCCGGCGCGATTTCAAATTTTCGGGAGCAAAAAAAAAAAAAAAAGTTGGGCCCCCTCCCCTAAGAAATCCTGGATCCGCGCCTGAGGGGACCTACGCCCTTAAGTCATAAATGACAGTAATGAGGATTAATGCCCCACAAAATGACACTAATGTAGCACATCGACACGGTTTTGATCCTGGGGCCTCACATTTCTCCCCACTGTTTAGATATCTCTATAATTGAGATGTAAAATGTGTAAATTTAAGAAACGAAGAGTTTTGTAGAATAACAATTATGATAATAATGGGTTCTTGTTTAGCCCTCATGTCTGTCAGACCATATCCGGACATCTACCCCCTGGGTATCCACCCCCGGATAACCACCCCAGTCAACTACCCCTAGGATAGTTGTCCCGGGGGTAGTTATCCTAGAGGATGGTTGTCGTAGGGAGTAGTTGTCGTAGGGGGGTAGTTGTCTGGGGGTAGTTGTCCTTGGGGGTAGTTGTCCGGGGGTAGTTGTCCAAAGGGGGTTGTTGTCCTAGGGGAAGTTGTCCTGGGGGGGGGCAGTTGACTGGGGTGGTTATCTGGGGGTGGATGTCCAGGGGGTAGGTGTCCTAGAACCAGTTCCGTATCACTTTAAAATTGCCGTCATTTCATTCAATCTCCTCTTCTCCTCTAGCCCTGGGGTTAGGAGGAAACATCTTCATCCTGGATACAGGGGTTCGAATCACCCACGAAGACTTCGAAGGACGAGCACAATATGCCGCCAAGTTTGTGACGGGTGTGGTAAGTCACATTATAAGATGATGACGTGGATCCTAATAAACGATTGGTTGAAACCGTACACGTCGTGACCAGGCATTGATTTGGCTTACACGTAATTTGGATAATGAATTTGGATAATTATCCAATTCTAATGACTGGTCATTAGTAAAATCATGTTATAAAACATCATTCTATAAAATTAAAAAAACATAATCTTATAAAACAAATAATACAAATCATTTTGTTCGGGCATTAGTAGAATAGCCCACACTCGGTACCTTCAGAACAGTCCAAACACCCTCGGCTACTGCCTCGGGCGTGTTAGAGACTGTTCCAAAGGTACCTTGTGCGGGTAATTCTTACTAATTCCCTCAATGCATTGTATTATTTGTATAGTAATGGTATTCAGTTACACTGGTAAGCATTATTTTAATCAGTTGTAGAGGCATGTTTCTGAATGTAGCTGAGGAAGCTCTAATTTGCATACCATATTTACATAGAGTACTTTGTACGTCAGCTGAGGTAGGGTTAGTGTTACTGTTGTCTATTAAAAGAAAGACGCAAAAATATGCAAAAAGACACGTGGCGGGTTGTGACCAACTTTTCAAAAGATCATTAAAACAGAATCCTAGCGACGAGGATGGGATTCGAACCCACGCGTGCAGAGCACAATGGATTAGCAGTCCATCGCCTTAACCACTCGGCCACCTCGTCTGGATATGTTCTTTAATCTTGGTGCAATTAAATTAATTCTTTTATAAGCATGATAAAGAAATTTAACTCGATATCAAACAAAGCTAAAACTATGTTCAAGTTAAAATCGTTAACTATAAGTAACGCGACGTATACGCAACGCCAACGTACAGCCATGTTAAAATAAAAAAAAAACATTAAAAAAAACACGAAACACTACATAGGCCTATAATGTCACGCAGGTCTAAGCAGAGGAAAAGGCTGCTTAATTCTAGGTGGTACTGGCATTTTGAATATTGTATCATTTTCGCTTGCACACTCATACCCCCCCCCCCCTTTTTTTTTTCCTCTTCTTTTTCCCCCCTCTCTCTCTTTCTCTCTCTCTCTTCATCTCCCTCTCTCTCTCTCTCTCTCTCTCTCTCTCTCTCTCTCTCCCTTGCTCTCATCATCAGAACACCGATTGCCATGGTCACGGGACTCACTGTGCAGGAATCGCTGCCGGGAAAAAGTACGGTGTCGCTAAGAAGGCAAATATCCATGCGGTCAAAGTATGTGACTGTACAGGTATCTGCTCATCCAGCGCTCTTATACAAGGTATGCAGAATAAATGATCACAATGTTCATACATCTGGGGGATGTTTCACAAAGATCCTAAGTTACACTGATCTCTAAGTTGGACTTAACAATTATGGAAAGCGGTTAGCATCTATGAAAATATTTTTTTTAAAGTTATTTTAAAAGGCATAAAATGTTGATTCAGATCATTCATATTTTTTTTATCATAGGAGATATTATGTTCTTGATGTGGAACTTATGAAAAGTCAGAAATACTTGAATTTTTTGCTTTTGAATATATTTTATTTTAAGGCTAAAAATGGCTCTCCATAATTTTTAAGTCTAACTTAAGTTGGGTTAAGTTTGACTTAGAATCTTTGTGGTGATTTGTGGTTAATTTTTGATACAATAATAAATCAATTTCATCTACAAATAATATTCTATGTCGCCTCTTGCTTGGTATCATTATCTGGAGGTCCCAGGCGCGTAGCCAGGGGGGGGGCGGTGGGGGCGGTGGGGGCGGTCGCCCCCCCCCCAAAAAAAAAAAAAAAACGCCGGCCAAAAAAAAAAAAGAGAGAGAAAGAAATTGAAGAAAAAAAAGAAAGAGGACGTAGGAAGAAAAAGGGAAAAGGAGTCGAGAACGGTACAATGAATCGTCAAAGCTTCCGCGCTTCGCGCGGGAAGGGGGAAACTGAGTTCAAATTAAGAAATATGAGTCGGGAAAGGTACAACGAATCGTATCCTTTCTCTAATAATTTAATGAAACGTCAAAGCTTCGCGTGAGAGAGGGGAGGGACTGAATACAGATAAGGATTAAGAGTCGAGAGAGGTACAACGAATCGTCTTCTTTCTCTAATAATTTAATGAAACGTCAAAGCTTCGCGCGAAAGAGGGGAGGGACTGAATTCAGACAAGGATTATGAGTCGAGAAAGGTACAACGAATCGTCTTCTTTCAAAGCTTCCGCGCTTCGCGCGGAAACACCCCCCTCCCTGCACACACCCCCCTAGGGAGCGCGCTTCGCGCGCTCTTTAAGTGATTCGCACGCTTCGCGTGCTCACTACCGCCCCCCCTAAAATGAAATCCTGGCTACGCGCTTGGGAGGTCCTTCTGTTTTCGGGAGTGGTGGTTATAAGGAAATAATGCTTTCAAAGTAATGGCATATAGAGACCATTATCTATCCCGAGTGTAAATGAAAATATTGACATTCTCGAGTGAGGTTTTGAATAAATAATTCATAAATCGTGGAATTATTTCAAAGATGAAAACAGTCACCGTAGCCCGTCGATTGTCGGAGTACTGTTTTACATTACATTTTTAATTATTCATTCATGTAGAATATTATAAGCAAGCGGTTATTTATTTGCCACGCAAATGAATTTACCAATAGGCGTGAAGGGATTTCAACATCTAATGGGCCATATTCAGTTTTAATGAGAACCTGATTAAAATTAAAGGTTAGATCACATACTTGTAATATATTAACCAAGAAATCTCCGAATTATGTTTTAAAGCGATTTTTTGGTTTAATTATTTGTCCTTTTTTCGATAGGTGTCGATTTCGTTGCCGAGCAGAAAGCAGGAGGGATGCAGAACGTGGTCGCCTCGCTGTCTCTGAGTCTCGCCTCCGATACTTTTGCCGAGGCAGTCCATAACGCCATCGACCTTGATGTCGTCGTTCTGACGTCGTCGGGTAACGATCGTCGCGATGCATGCCGTCTGATCCCCGGCAATATTCCAGAGGTAAGGATCTACACGGCGGCGTCTCTAGACCCTGCTCTCGGGGGTGGGGCAAAACATATACTGTGATCCATATATAGTTCAGTGATGACACCGCATTTTGAGGCCCCTCTTTTAGGAATACGGAGGGTGTGGTTATTGCCTATAATGACTGTTTTGGTAACAAAAGGTCTTTTGAGAATATACGTTTCTGTCATTGTATGTGCAAGATTCCCTAAACTGTCAACAAAAAGTGTCGCTGCGGCAGAGATTGTAATCAAATTAAAAGTAATATTGGGTCATTTCACCTGTTAGAATATGGTGACCAAAATATGTTGTAAGTACATTGGTATAATTTTTTTATGTTTAATAATAATAATGGTGGCTACTAAACTAGCGAACATATCCGTCACGCTCTACCATATCATATAGGTACCCATTTCCAAGAAGGCATGAGTAAGTGGAGAGTGGCAAGTGTAGATTAATGTCTTGCCAAAGGACGTTAGTGCCAAGCTGGGATTTGAACCCTCAGCTATTAGATTGGGAGACAAGTGAATGAACCACTACACCACGACACCTCATTTTTATCCTTTTTATATTCAGGTCATCACTGTCGGTAACACCCAGGAAGATGACTCCATCCGATCGAGCTCGAATTTCGGTGAGTGCGTCGACATTCTCGCCCCCGGTACCGACATCGTCAGCTGCGGAAACGATGACGACACGGCGACGTCGACGAAGACGGGAACCAGCATGGCTTGCCCTCATGTGGCAGGTATGTCTGGTAGCAGATATCATGGGCGGCTTCAGATTTGGGTTTAAAAAAGGGGGGGGGTGGTAGGGATTTTAGGGATTGCCTACTCGAACAGGGTGATTGCTTTATACGGAATTATACGGAATAATGTGACATTTTAGTAGTCATTAGGTTAAGTTAACGGGTAAGGGGTGTAAGGGGTCGTCCCTCCCCCCTTCTACTTTTCTCCCTCTCTCTCTCTCTCTCTCTGTCCTTCCTTCCCCCACACTCCCCTCTCTCTGTTTACCTTTTGCTCCCTTTCTATTTATTTCTTAACCTCTCTGTTTTTCTTTTTCTTTTAAAATCTGCCTATTTCCTTTCCTTGTGCTTTCACCCACCCGCCCCTCTCTCTCCCACTCTCTCTCTCTCTCTCTCTGTCTTTCTCTTTCTTACTCTCCCTTAATTCTCCCTCTGGTCTGCCCACAGGAGCTGCTGCCATACTAATGGCCGACCGTGGAGTAGCGCCGAGAGATGTCAGTGATACCTTAGTCAACGAAGCCTCAGCGGACAAAATCAATGGACTCCGATCCGGGACGCCTAACAAACTTCTGTATGTCCGCCCCGTGGCCATAATGGAGAACTAGTTATAGCATGGAGATAAGAAGAGATATCTCCATGGTTATAGGAATGGCCTGTCGATATAATACGGTGGAAGGTTAAGGGTTCGAATCTCAGGTCCAAATGGGTGCATGGCAATTTAATACTGGGGTAAGAATAATTGCAGGCCCGTAGAAGGACATCATCAATGCTCATGAGGCTTCCTTGGGTAAAATAAAATGATAATGAATAATAATAACGGTTTGTCGATAAATAATAATCATTTTTTGTCGATAAACAGTCACCGCAAATTTCATCCAGAGCCTCTAAGTGCGTGTTATAATTTTGATTATAATATCATATTATGATAAAGGTCCCTATGCGTTTCCAAAGAGATACATGTATTAAAAAAATAGGTAATGTGGAAAAAATACAAATATTTGAATGTCATAATGTATTTAATATTATTCTTTCATTATCATTCTACAAATTAGAATGTGACAAGTGTGTTTCAAAGTATGAGTAAGAAAAAGTATTTATAATAAGCTTGTAGGAATATGGAGAGAGTGGGAGAGAGAGAGAGAGAGGGGGGGGGGAGAAGGAGAGGTAGAGAAAAGAAGGGAGAGAGAGAGAGAGAGAGTTGGGATGAGAGAAGAAGGGGGAGAGGAAGCGAGAGAGGAGAGGGGTAAATAGCAACATTGATAAAGATCGATGATGATGATGATGATGATGGTGGTGGTGATGATGATGATGATGATCGTGATGATGATGATAAGATGATGATAAGATGAATATGAAGAGGATGATGATGATAATAATAAATGATGATAATGAGATTGTCCGATCATTGACCCTCTTACCCCGTGTCCACTAACAACATTTTCCGTGATTAGGCGTGATTATTTTTACCGTTTCGGGTGTTTCGGGATAGTTATACGATGAGATCGGGTGTGTGGACGCTTACTAACGATACGTAGTGTAACGAAACGTCGTATAACGAAACGCGGGTTTGGGCATCGTTTCGAACTAGAACTCGATAAAGAATCACGCCTAATCACGGAATGTGTTGTGTGTGGACGTAACTAGTATAACTAGTCGAACTAGAGCTGTATAACTGGGCGGAGCTTAACGTGACCTCGCGCGAAAGGAGACATGGGGGGGGGGGGGGCGTTTCATGAAACAATAATAGTCGGTGTTTTTCACCGACTGATATCATGTTCACCGACAATTCTTTTGTCACCGACTATTTTCCAGGCCTGTGAGTGGTCAAATTTAGTCAGCTCTGACCAAAATGTCGGTGAACATGATATTAGTCGGTGAAAACCACCGACTAAAGTGACTCTCACACTCTGCCGTGTAGGCCTACCGTGTGCCACCGTGCGCGAAAATGTCTGCGGACGGTGGAGAACGGCGAGGGCACACGGTGGTTCGTTATCAAAGCGGGCAACACGTTAATAGGGCGTTGGCGCTTATTTACACCCGGTGGGACCCGGCGAAAGTTTTGGGCATGTTCAAAACTTTGGCCGGCTGGCACCGGCCGCAAGTAAGCGGAAAGAGGACGGTGTTGAACGGTATGAGGACGGTATGAATACGTTATGAAAACGGTCACACTGTATGAACACGTTCACAACACGCTCATAACCCGTTACAGAACGGTGATGAAAAATGGAGAGCGGACTGACCGTTGCCGTTCAAATCGGGGGTATTTATGGCAGTCGTGTCATGACGTCAGCAGTCCGGGGACTCGCTCACAGGACGCTCCGAGCGGTGAGGGGACGCTAAGTGACTGGTAGGTGGCTGCTTCAAACCCGGTGCACACGTTCGAGACCCGGTATGGGCCCGGTATGGAAACGGCAAAAATTTTCAACAAAAGTCAATCTGGGCGGTGAAGACGGTAGAAGCACGTTCAACACCCGATATGCGCCCGGTGAGAACGGTCAGAAGATGGCAACGAAACGGTGAAAAGATTAATTTTATGAATTTTTTTTTGCGGCCGGGGACAAGTTCGCTCAAAACCCAACGTTCTGGACGTTTTTTTTTTTTATTAGCCCGGCAGGTGGACGGTAGGCCTACACGGCAGAGTGTGAGAGCTCCATAAGGTTTCATGAAACGCTCACCCCCCCCCCCCCCCCCCCCCCCCCCCCCCCCCCTCGTGATAAATTGTTTTGTGTGTGGACACGCTGTATGGTCTGATTATCTCGGAAGCCATTGTTATTGCCTAGTGGGCGTGGCATTATAACTAAACGTGACAAGGCCCCTCGATTTAGGGCCACTAATGAGCTCGTATTCCTTTATCAGGGTGATTTTATAAATATAATCATTGACATTATATAGCCTCGTATATTCCACTACCTCTTTATCTATAGACCCCGCTATAACCACCTCTTTGTAGACCTGGCAGGAAAACATTAATTGTATTCGTTTAACTGGACTTTAATTCACGTCCTACAAAGCAAAATTTATTATTCTGTTCATTTCTAAAAAATCTATTTATTCCACTGTTTCTACATGTATTTTATAGCACCGTACTATATTTCAAACACTTGTCAATACAACGTCACAATCGCAATTGGACTTTGTATTTGACAGGCCATTATCGTCTGCTTAGATTCAGAAGGTGTTTACTCTGTATAAAGAGCTTTATACAACACCTACGTGGATCCTTGTCATTTGATTGGACGATTGTTGGTCACATGATATTCAATAGATGGTATATTGCACGGTCGTGCATTTTTGGTTATATGCGCCGTGCATTTTGGTTATATGCAGACTGCGTACCTCTCTGCTGCATGTGCGCGTATCCCTGCGTGTATCTGACGCGAAGGCAATCTGCATGTAATCGAGAAGGCTTGACTCGAACTTTAATTTATCTTTATAAGGAGTAAAGCATAATTTGTTGATTAACGTTCTATTAGGTCTTCTTCGATGTTGTATAAAACAAATAATGAATGTTTTTCATTCGTTTAATAGTGCAAATATTTTCATTCGTTGAAAGATTAACGTTAATTCTATTCAACTCGGCTGACGCCTCGTTGAATAGAATGTTAATCTTTCAACTCATGAACATATTCGCACTATTGAACTCATAACCATTCATTATTTGTATAATAATGTTAGTGCCGTTATGACACTCAGCGGAAGTTATTTGCTGCGTTGACATAAGTATATCCATCGCATAGCACGAATATCAAATTCGAACTACAGGCATCATGATACCCATTGTATGGGTGTCTATTAAATGCCGACTAGTATAGGCCCATTTGGTCTATCAAAAGTCAAACTGTATTTGTGAGCCTGATTCGTCAAGTCGCGAATACTATTTTCAAGACACTGTCCATTTTCGGTCAGGATTTGCCCTTTGGAACCTTACGAGTGGGACTGTACATAAAATAGAGTCCATTTACGACGTCTACATAAATCTTTTAGCTTTCGATGGCTTCGCTAACCCGGCTCGTGCGTGCATTGTCCGCCGAACCGTGCGTGCCCGGTGTGTGGGCAGGTTGTGTAGCTCGCCCCGTTCATTTCTTCGTGTGACTCTGTGAAATCAAACGGAGCGCAAACGGCAGCTCCACCTTCGAGCATTCGAACAATTCTGAGATTTCAATCGCAGTGAGTATTGGCACGGTCTTTAATTCCTATGAATTATCTTTGACTTTATCAGATTGTGTTTGACTAATTATAGCTAAAAGCAGAAATACCTCATCCTCCAATACCTAGTTCAACCCCGAGTTCAACATACTGTAGACATTTACATGACTTAATTTATGATTTAGCGCTAGCGCTGTGACAACAATACTCCCCTCGAATATGTTGATCTGCTTAGTCTAAGATTGCATACCTTTTCTGTATTATATTAGAACATTGACTTTTTATACTATATAATATATATACATATGGGCTACTATATTCATTCATATTGAATGTAATTATATTCCTCTCATTTTATTTTTGAAAAAATAATGAAACAATCACCCATGGATTGTCCAATGGCCCGATTGGTGTCGGGACGGGCGCAAGCTGTTACCCCTTCGTCAGCCACGCCCACTTTTATTAACGTCCCCACTGATATCACATATTGGTAATATAAGTGACAAAATCTCAAGAAGTATGCATATCAATCGAGGGTTAAAGGTAAAGACCAGTTATGGTCATGCGATTGCATTGTGAAAGAAACGTTGTGGAATCGATCAGAAAAGGTTGATCATCTAGCATCTAGCATCTGCAAGGTTCTGGAATCGTCAAAATGATAAGAAATTTGGTCCATTCTTCGTAAAGTTACAAGCACTATACACAGAAAGATGTATATGGGACTACCCTATATCTCTCACAGACCATGAGAGAAACAAATTTACCAAATATATGAATTAGTAGGCGGTTTCCGGCAAATTTTTTATCATCATGTATTAGTCAAAACATATTCTTTCACATGATTGGTAATGAGAGCTTCCATTTCATTTTTTGAAATTGGGGCATTTCCAATATTGGTCTTTACCTTTAACCATGACTTGAAAATACAGGACAAATGGGGTTGTTTCTTTGTTTCAATGGGAAGCCTATATATTATGTACCCTATAATTTGTTAAGATGGTTTTCATGAACTTTTATTTTCTTCGTTAATTATTTATTGATGATGGAATAGATTCTTCTTCTTTTTTTTCCATACAAGGGTTGTAAAGCAACATAATTATTTGCAGTAATTATATTCAGGGTGCATGTATTTTGAACATTTTCTTGAGGTAAAAAAAAGAATTTTGATTTTTGTTTTAGTACAGAGCAAATGGAATCGGAGCTCGCAAGATATGTCACAGCGTTGCCAATTTATGTTCCATTGATCACAACTTTAAAAAGTCATAACTTTCAGGAATTTGCTCAAGCTTTCACTGACATGTTTTCTCATTTATCTGCTTCTATTAAAAATTAGCTTGATATCAGGGTGGACTTCATTTTAATTAAATCACCATCTTTATCTATTTAATGAATATTTCGTCATCACTTTCTCATCTCAAGGTTCACTCGAGGCGTAAGGATGACGGACAGTGAACATCCGGGGACCATGATGACGTCATCAAGAGAATCCGAAAAGGAGTTTCTCAGTAAAGTCTTTGACCTGATTCTAAAAGAAGGAGTGGAGAAACAACTCAATGGCGACTGCAAAGGTTTGTCATTATTTGTTTTTCGATCAGTTAGTCTTTCTCCGCCTCTTTCTAACTTCCCCACTCTTTCAGACCCCATCCCCCCAAACACAGTATGCTATAGCTACTCCTTTTGTTATACGTATTATCTTCATAATTATATGTGTATTTCCTATCGTATATTTCTGTATGATATGTTTTATGTTAATCATCCCACTTGCTGAAAAGCAAGTCTTTTTGACGGATGAAATTTCTACCTTGAAAAAAAGTCGCCTTGTTTTCGGACAAAATAATAGGCCACTTGTTA